CGGGGCCCGGGCCAGGAGGGTGAGTTCCGGCCAGCGCTGGTTCGAGGCCCGCGCCGCGTCTAGGGGACCGCGGGTGCGGGCACCCGACGGCTCCTGGGGGAGCTGCTGGGAAACTCGTGTCCGGGAGCACGCGGCCCCGCGGGGAGGCCCGGGGGGGCCCGAGAGGGCGGGAGCGTGGGGCCGGCTCGTCGGAGGGCTGGTGAGGTCGGGCGGCGGGTGGGGGCCGTCTCTCTGCCTTCCCAGACTACTTGACGTGCTTGAGCCAGTGTCCGTCACCCCAAGGCAGGGTAGGGGCTTCTTAGGAGTGGGGGTTGGTTGGAATCGAGAGGTTTTTTTTGGAGAGCTGTTGAAGACGGGATAGATCGGCAGCCGCTTGCAGCGTAGGAGGAAAGAAAATACAATTTATCCATGGAACCCTTCTACCAGAGAGGGGAAAGATTCTTTGAAAGAGGAGTGCAGGGCAGAAAGTTTGTGGTGAAATCATAAATTACCGAAGAACGGGAAAGATACAGTCCGGTACCAAGGACGGCTTGGAGGTTACTGTTTTTCCTAAAAAGCAAAATGTAATTTCAGTGAAAAAAGTCGTTGCTTAAGAGTCAGTTCAGGTCAGTTTGTTGAAGATGAAATTCCTTAACTTCATATGATCTCATGCCAGCTAGCCCTCAGTCTAGATTAGACTCTCGAGCCGGGTGTGTTGGCACACGCCTGTAATCCCAGCACTCGGGAGGCTGAGGCAGGAGGATCGTTGAGAGTTCGAGACCAGCCTGGCCTACAAAGTGAGCTCAAGGCCAGCCTGAACTGCATAGGAAGACCCTGTCTCAAAAAAAAAAAAAAAGATTCTCTTTGATGATTTTTTTTTAAATGAGCTTTAGGATATAAATGCTTCGGAGTAAGGAGTCTTCAGCTAGCCGATGATGTACCCAACCTATGGGGGAGGAGGAGTATTTATGTAGAAGAGCATGGGGAACTTGGGCTGTGATTTGGAGAGACCTGAGGTTAGATACCAGCCTTGCAATATATACTAGCTGTGTGACCTTGTGGGAGTTATTTAACCTCCTGACCCTCACTTGCCCTATCATAAATGGGAATAAAAGTTTCTTCTTCATATAAGATTACTTTAGAGGATCCAGAAAGATCATATACGTATATATAAAGCCCTTATACCTTGTCTGGCCCAGAGAGTGACTTATTAATAAGTGTCAACGATGAAATAAAGTGATAATTGGCTCGGTTTTGAGTAACAGTTTACTACCTCAGGAGGTCAGTGACATGCTTGCCTCTTGTACAGAGCCTAGTAACTAACACATAGAACACATATTGAGTGGATTAAGTAAATGAACAGGGTGTTTGGCTTTATGATTGCTTAAACCAGTGTATCAAAGGAGATTGATTCAGAAGTAATAACAGGTATCAGTGGTGGACTTGTCTGCTCTATGTTTTTGGTTTATGCCTTGAATGGGAATGATTAGATTTGATCAGATTTGCCAGTGGCCTGGATCCAGGTTGGGTAGATGATATACTGGTTTTGGAAAGATCTTGACAGTTTAAATTACGCTGTTATGTCTAACACTGTGGAATATTTTCTTTCTAAGAACACTTTCTGATTAAGTTAATACAAAGTCATTTTAGAAAATTTAGAAAGAAAATAATTGCCGTACTCAGAGGTCACTGCTGTTCACATTTTGGTATATGTCCTTCTAGAAGACAGCAGCAATCAGACCTCACGTGATGATTCTTTGGTGTTGCTTTTTTTTTTTTTTTTTTTTTTTAAGAGAGGGTTTCCATGTGTAGTTCAGGCTGACCTTGAACTTAGGATGTAGCCCAGGCTGGCCTCAAACTTGGGGCAATCCAAGTGCTGGGACTACAGGCATGCATCACTATGCCTGGCACACATGATGTTTTATAACTAAACAGGATACAGTTAAGAATGCACAATAGCAGTGTTAGCAGGAACCTGGGGTGTAGAACCATAATCCTAGGCAAAGCGTGGTTGCTTCATTGAGCCTAACATCTGTGCCTGAGTGCTCTCATCTTAGGATGCCACTGTCTGCATTATAAGTGAGATAACTGATGTAAATACTTAGCAGACTGCCTGGCGTGTAGTGTGTTTCCTACTGCTCAGTGTGTTTATTAACGTGAAAGACCTGGCATCTTAGACTCTTGGGCTGGGTGTGCCCTAGAGGTCATCTACCATAGTCCCTTCCTTCCTCAGATGCGTGAACAGACTCAGAGGGAAGTGACATGCTTAATGTTGCACAGCTAATTTTTAGTAGATCCGGGTATGCCCTTATTCCCTCTTTGCTCACAGGTCACCTTAGAAAGCATAAATGGAATTTATTTCCCTTTCTTTCCTCAGCACGAGCCTCTTCTTACACAAAGGTTTGGATTTATGACTCTCCACTTTTGCCTCTTCTCCTTGTCTGTCACTTCCTCTAGGGCTTGGCTAATCCTTCAGGTTTGAATCTTCAGCACCAGGGAACTTGACAACTGCTGAGTGAATGTGTTAAGGTTGCTGGAGGAGAAAAGCTGACAACTAGTAGAGTAGCATCCAGATTGTGGGAAGGGATAGTTCCACTGTGTGTCATTCATTCGTCTAGCAAGTATTGAGTGTTCACGGAGTGCCAGGCTTGGACTCATGCAGAGGATGCAGTGCTGCACCCGTCCCTTTTTGGAGTTTCCAATCTAATGTGGCAGATGGGCACATGAAGGAGTTGCATGCTTTGCTTTTACTGCGCTGAGTGCTACAGAGGCGAGTAAGGGTGCCCGGAGAGCCAGGAACAGGGAAACTTGGCTTGATGCGGTGGAGAGAGGAGTCTGGAAAGTCTCATCTGAGGATGGAGTAGGTAAGCTTCCTGAGTACGGGTTAGCCGGCCGAAGGGAGTGTCGGAGGCATGGGTGTGGGAATAGCATTGCAGAAGCCTAGGGGAAAGAAGAAGCAGGTACTGTACATTGTAGGGCATTAAGAAGACCAGGACAGCAGAGGGGAAAGCTGAGCCAGTGAGATGGGCGAATATTCTGGAGGGCTTTGTAGATGTCACAGATTTTCACTTTGGCCTAAGAGCAAGGGAAAGCCTGTCTAATGTTGTGCTTCACTCTGAGTGTTCCTTTTAGAGAGATGTTGATAGGGGAATAAAGGGTGACCAAGGTGATTCGGTATCTAAACTTTGTGTACTACTTGGAATAGTAAGTCCCAAGGAGAAAGAAGGAGTTGCAGGCTGTGCAGGAATGCGGTGTACGTGAAGAGAGGAGCATGTTCTGTTTGGCTGCAGAAAGCACACCTCGGAGTGGGAGGCAGACAGTCCAGGAGGCCAGGCTTGCCTGAGTGGTGGAAAGGCTCCCTAGGGTCGGCCAGGAGCAGGGTAGGCAGCCTCCTGGGAGGAAAGGGCTGTGTGGGCAGGGGCTGCAAGGCCACCTGCGAGGGGACGTGTGGTGGGAATTCCGTGGCGGTAAGCACGCCCCCCCCCGGGCCTTTTTGTGCCTCCCTGTGTGTAAATCAGATGAAATCCAAACATTTCATATTGTTTTGCAAATGAGTCAACCTGAAGCTTCCTCTCTTTAATTCTGGAAATTCATAAACTTGGGACTTTGTAAAAATAAATTTGTAAAGTAGGCCAACACTTTATTGATGTTAAATATTTGAAGTTGTATTTATTGAATTACTTAAATAAAGGAATATTTATGGTAACCAGGACAAAAGAACTGGATGTTTTTATTGGTAAGTTAGTCTGAAACCCACAGTCGTGGGTAAAGCAAGCCAGTGTGTAAACACAAGCCATTATTTCAAGCAAAGAGGAAAAGAACCTATTCCAAAACTACAGAGTGACAAGTGCTGGCTCTTTGAGGGATGCTTTTATACGTGCTGCTGTGTAAATGGGAAGAAAAGGCCAGAAAAAATAGAGAAGTTGGGTTTTTTCTCCTGGGGGAAGTCAGTATGTTGTGCACTGACTCTCTTTGATGTTATGGAGATGAGCACCAGGCAAGACAGGCCTAATGGTGTGCAACCTGTGATCAGCGAAAGGCAAGGTGGGCTGGAAATGGTGGTGCCGAAAGTGATGGATGGAGCAGTGTTCGCATTTGGAATAGGAGCGGCGAGTCCCGACTGTCTGCAGCCCATCTGAATCTGGGGAAGCAGCTTGAGGCGAGAGGACAGAGATCCAAGCACTGGGGTAGGGCGGTGATGAAGTTTTCTGCTTCCTGAGCATGAGCTGGGACATGGCTTCCTGCTCATCTCTCTCCCCTGTGTGGTCTCCACGTGCTTGGTTGGTGGAGAGGAGAGATTCGTTTCTCCAGCCTCTGTGCTGGCTCAGATGGGTTGGTAGGGGTATGGGTTGACTTGGTGTGCGTACCTCACAAGGTGAGTGGTTCCCATAACGCAGGCTTAATTGGCTAGCAGCTCGAAAAATGTCCCTGCCTTCCTGACCCTCACTCTCATCTTGGGTGATTTAATGGTTAAGATGGATGGTGGTGAGTTTTTTTTTCTTTCTTTTTCTTTTTGGAAAAAACTGAGAGGATCTGATTGCAAACCCTAAACTTGCTTGGCATATGGGGCATAATGATCTCTGCAGGAAGAGATGCGATTCTGTGGGCAGTCAGGCTTCACTCCGAGGTCTGTCTTCATGGACTAATGCATCTCTTCTTGATCTTTCCTTTTGGGAACAACGCAGCAAGCAAAGGCTACCAAGAGGAAACACCGCGCGTCCAGTGAAGCTCCCCCAGCAAAACGGAGGGATGAAATGTCGTTTCTGTCGGCCAAGAAAACTAGTGTGAAAGAAACTCAAAGGACTTTCAAGGGAAAGTTGCAAAAAAATTTTTCTCCCAAGAAGCATTTGGTTAACACTGGTGACAGAAAGCAAGAGGAGAAACCATGCATTAAGACTTCATCGTTGTTTAAAAACAACCCTGAAATCCCAGAACTCCCCAGGTATGTTCAGGCGCAGATGCTGTTCCGTAACAGAAGGAGTTGTGTGTTTTCTGCCATTTCCTTTGCTGACATTGGCACTGGTGTCTGGGTTTTGCAGACCTGTGGTAAAGCAGGCGCGAGAGCAAGTGTTCACTCCCGAGGCTTTCCAGGAGCTGGGCCTCCACCCTCATCTAGTGAGTATCCCGAAGCGCCCTGTGGTCTGTGTGTGTCTGTGTCTGTGTGTCTGTGTGTCTGTGTGTCTGTGTCCAGTGTCTGTCTGTACTCCCAGATGGACAGCACATTCTCCTGCTAGACCAGTTTGGATGTGCAGAGATCACTGCTCACTCCCCCAACCCTTTTTTCCCTTGTTTTAAGAACTGGAGACTTTTCTCCCCTAATGCAGCATAGCACAGGACTTCGCTAATTAGACTTAGGCCAGCTTCCTACTTGCTGGATAGGTGAGGCGCAGCCGTTCATGGTGGCAGATGGCATAGTGGCCAGAGCAGAGTACCTGAGTTGCCTTCTTGCTGCTAAGGGATGTGCAGTTGTAGAGGCGAAGGAAGAAGAGGCTCCTTTAAATGCACCCTTTTCTTTCATTTTAGTGTCGTGACTGAGTTTTCTAGACTTAATGTGGATGAGAAGAGGGGAAAAATGTATTCATTTTTGGAAGCCTTGATTTCCTTTGTTTGAGGGGGCGCAGTTTATGCACCTCTTCCTTAGGGCAGACCCCATGGGGTGGTTTCCTTGCCTAAGAGTGGAATGGGGAATTTCAGCCTTAGTAAAGTAGACATTTTGGACAAGGTGACTCATTGTTAAGGGGATTGTCCTGTCCACTGTTAGACATTTAACAGCATCCTGGGCCTCTTCTCACTTAGGTGCCAGTAGCACCTCCTCCCAGCTGTGTCAACCAGAATATTTTTCAGATAGTGCTGCACGTCAGGGGAGGGGTAGGGTCACCCCTACTTGAGAAGCACTAGGTTGGGAGAACTGAATTTGATCCTACCAATCAAGGCAGTCCCAGTATTCTGTCCTTTTTTGTGTGTCATTTCCACTATATATGTTTGTATCGAAAAGTTGATAAAAAATACTTTCTATCTTCTCTTTTAGGTTTCTACAATAAACACAGTCTTAAAAGTATCCAGTATGACCAGGTAAAAGTTCCAGGCTACTCTGGGTTTCTTAAGGGTTATGTGGGTATAACCAGTTGAGATCCAAATTGTCTATGCAGGGCAGAGCAAGTTTGTGTCTTGGTACTGGAAACAGTGCCACGATATGGGCCATAGAGGCCTTGGCATCACTTTTTTAGCCATTTGGGTTCCCCACCTTTTACATGGAGAGACTAGGTTTCCATCCAGTTCTGCTTGGCTCCACACTGTAAGAAATACCTGGTTCAGAAGATCTATTGTCTGTGTTGCCCTGAAAATCATTTGGCCAGAATACAGAATTTGGTCATGTCATTTCTTAGCAGTAAGGATTAAAGTCAACCAAAAAGCAGTAAATGTTTGGTTGGATATAATGAGATGCTGAAATAATGTTTTAGATGTTTTTATAGTGATGGCTCTTGGAAAATAGAAAAAGGGAAGGTTTGGGGAAGGGATGCACTTCCTTGCTTTGAGTATGTATGCCTTATACATGTTAATAATGGTCATTTTTACTGCTATGAATAAAGATAAGAATATTGAATAAATTAGGGAGCTCCCACCAGCAGTTTTTTGTTGATTTGCTTTTTTTAATCAACCAAATTGAAATGATTTCTTTATCCTTTTTTTGTTGTCTGGTTTCAAATACACATGTGGACACATCTCTGCATACGTTTCCGACAGTTTCTTGGAGCAGGGTCAGGTGCAGCTGGCTGTGTGGATAGCTTGCAAGCATCCTTTTGCTCCTCTGCACTGAAATCTCCCCTTGTGTTTTATTGGGTCCCATGTTCTGTAATGCAGAAGATAAGAGGGTATGCCATACTTTTGTGGTAACTGAGTTGTGTCTGTCCACGTTGTTAAAAATAAGAGTAATACAGTGACCAATCTCTGGCTTGTCATCAGTTTCAGCTAAGTTCCAGAAATGTAGCTAGGGATTTATCCTAATCATCATAAGTTTCCCAGCACCTCTGCAGGGCCAGTTGGTAGAGAGGTCAGTTGTGGGTGATATAGCCTGCCTGTCTGCCTGGATGTGTAAGTGACCCATATGTTGTAGATGAGATGTGTTCTCTCTTTTGGGTGGCCCCAGTGTTCAGAAGCAAAGTATTCCTGTGTTGCTGGAAGGCCGAGATGCCCTCGTGCGGTCCCAGACGGGCTCAGGTCAGTCAGTGTTTAATCTCTGCCCTTCCTCCTGTGGCACAAGGCCCGCGGTCATTTGGTAGGCTCTGAGGGTAGTGTCTGTAGCAGTGGTGGCTGTTTGTGTTCTTTTGGGGGAGGTAACCTGTGCTTGCTTCTGATCAGAGTTTGGAATTTGTTCACATAGTGGAAGGAAGGGATGACGGATGGTGCTGTGGTCAGCAGTGATTAGCACGTAGTTGACCTCTGCCTTTATTTCCCCAGAACCCATGTCATGGCTCTGCCACTTCTGACCATCCCACAGCCGCCCATGTCCATGCTGATACTAAAACATTCTGCCATGAGCATGTGCCATGTTGCTTGGATGCAGTCGTGGTGTTGGAGCCACAGTCCTGTCTGTCTGGACTGCTCCTCCAGCCCTCGGGCCCTCCGGTGCCCTCAGGGTAGCTGTTGTCTACTTCTGCTGGCCCAGGCACATGGAGAGGGTGGAAACCCGGAGCTTCTCCCTTCCTGCGGTTTCTCTGTCTTTGAACACTGGCTCCGGGGTTCATACTAGTCATCCACACTGCAGAGGGCATGTAATTAACCACCAAAATTCATCAGAGAAGGTAAAAGGGACCTCAGAGAGGAATTTGTTCCAGCTTCTGCACACAACCATTGAGCGTTTGCGTAATTCAGAAAGTGGCCAGTCCCCTCAGTTGCTGGGTCAGTAGAAGAGCTGAAGCTTCGTGGTGTTTGAAGTACTGAACATACAAAGCAAAACAAGGAGTGTAGCAGAGTTGGAGTTCCTTCTCACCTCTCTTAGATGTAGGGTAGGCAGTTTACCTTCTAGAATTTCGTACTGTGTCAGGAGAACAGCCTAGTTCCCATTTAACTGCTTTTGCACTTTTAAAAGGTAAAACGCTTGCCTATTGCATCCCGGTGGTCCAGTCCCTTCAAGCAATGAAGTCAAAAATACAGGTGAGTGTGAAACGTCTTTCTGCTGTTCAGAACAGATAGCTGGCCATCCAACTGAACCGTGGTGGTCACAGTAGGACTAAAAGTGCCTGTTCGCACTTGACATTGTTTTTTTACCTCCCTTTAATTCATTTGTCACATAAGCGCGTTACATCTAAAGACCGCCGAGAGTGGGATAGAATACATGCACTTCACAGTCCCTGTAATAAGTATGCTAGGGGACACATGTAACGTGCTTTCCACATGGCAGGTGCTGTGCTAAGCGCTCTGCATGTTTCCGTCTTGCCCATCTTGTGCTACTTGATGCCCATCTTACACAGAGAAACAGAGCGAAACAACCAGGGCCATGTGACAAGTTGTGGTAGAACTGGATTGCCACCTCCCTTCTGTTTGGCTCCAGAGACCACGCCCTGCCCACCACACCAGGTTTCTGTGGTGAAGGTTCAAGGCTTGCTCCTGTCCTTTCCTCTGTGTCTTCCACAGGGCCCAGCATTGGGCCCCCTACAGAATTAATGCTTAGGAAATGTCTCAAAATGATCTGATTTGGAGCTGTCTGATTATGTTTTTCATTTGAGTCTCTGCTCTAAATCATGTAGAGTTAAATGTCAACGTCTGTTCTAAGTTCTAATGTGTTACTTATTTTGGACCAGAAGGGCTGAAGTTTCCACGTAAAATAGTGGCTTATTGATAGTGGGTGTGAAGATAAGCACCCAGTTAGTGAGTCAGCACTCGGGCTGCCACATATTTAACATTATTTAGAATTGATCTTTCAGAGACATATTGAGTTCATGTTTGGGCCGAAGAGGCCAAAATGGGTTTCAGAGAAAGCCAGTTAACTGTTGTGTGCATGGGTGTAGGCCTTGTCTCACCCCAGCCCGGAGTCCATAGGTGCAGTCAGCTGAGAGGAAATAGAAGGATGAGAAATAGGAAGTAGGGTGAGTATATAAAACAGAGGAGCTGATGGATAGCTGTTTCTCTTAGTTTGGATGTGCATCAAGCCTACCTGATACATGAGTGACAAAATAAGTAATAGTATTGCTTTATAGTCCCTAGACTAAATATCCATAAGTCCAAACTGTTTTTGAATAAGTAAATAAGCAGGAGAGAAGGAAAAACACTTTGTTGTGGTGACATTCCAATAGATGGATGCAGAAGTGATGGACCTAGAAGAGCACTGTTTGGTGAATGCCTCAGTGGTAATGTTTCAGGCATGGAGCCTCACTGATAGGCTGACACACACGGGTAATCGTGTGATGGGAAGTAGGGTTTTTACATAGTCTCCAAGTAGCGCCACACGAAGTAATGAAGACGGGAAAGACAGTGACTTTACAGCAGAGCCAAGCTGTGTCACCTCAGGTGCCTCCTGAGATGGGCACATTGCTTCTGTGGTTTTCTTGCCAAAAACGCAGAACTGGAATTTAATCACAAGGAAGCACTAGACAAACTGCAGCTGAGGGACAAAATAGCTAGCCAGTATCCCTCCGAAGGGTTAGGGTTGTAACTGAAGAACTACCCCGGCTTAAAAGGGTGGTTCTGGATTGGGGTGTAGTCTTTGTATAGGACAGTTACAGGTCACCTGATGAAGTCTGAGTAAGGCCTTTAAAGTAATAGGATTGAATCCATGTTAATTTCCTGGGTTTGGTAATTGTATTATCTTTCTAGTTATTGATAACATGGGGAAACTGGGAGAAGGACATATGAGAATTCCTTGTACAACTTTTGCAATGTTTTGTTAAGTCTGAAGCAATTTAAAAATTAGCTTAAAACATTTGAGCTAGGAGCTGGGGATTTGGCTCGGCGGTACAGCGTCTGCCTAGCAAGCGTGAGGTCATGAGTTCCATTTCCGCTACCAGAAAAAAAAGAAAAAAAACATTTGAACTAAAAATTAGGTTAAAACATTTAAAAAATCAGCTAGAAAAGGAGCAGTCATCGAAATGATACAACCCTAGGTAGCCATTAAAAGTGACATTTCTTTAAGTTACTGTTAGTGAACTTGAGCATGTGTTCTTGCTGCACTCACCAAAGAAGAACAAGTTACAATACAACACTGTGTATTCTGTAACTCCAGCTTCATAAATGGTAACCTGTGTGTTTATATGGATAACAAATGAGACGGACACTTAGCAAATTGTTAATACTGGTTTTCTCTGCGGTGCAAAAGTGAGGAGTTTTATTTCCTAAAGGTAACTGATTTTTTTCTCCTTACTAAGCAATTTACAGTGAAGTAATTCATGCACAGTGCTTAGCATTGTCACTGATACACAGTTAGAGAAGAGGAAATGTAAATTATTACACCTGTGCAGTGAAGTCTCACCCGCTTCTGTGCTCCAGGGGAACTGGTTGCTGGGAAAGGACATTTTCTTCATACCAGGGTGGAGAGTTTGGAAGTACTTGGGCTGGAATGAGTCCCACAGGTTCTGGCCCACCTGTCTTTCGTAGATGGGCAGCTGAGGACCAGAGGGGAGATGGCACACATGGTGTGCAAGCTGTGCTGGGCACCTTTGCGCAGACTGGGGCTGAGTGTAATTTTTTCTTTGTGCTGGGATTGAGCACCAGGCCTCGTGCACGCCAAGCACGTGCTTTGTCCCCACACTGTGTCCCTGCCCTGAGGGGAGTGGGCGGCACTTAGCTCTTCCCTCCCTGCTTCGCTGTTGTCCCCGTGCTGTGAGGACGCTGGAGTGCCTGTCTCCTGGGGTAGGACAGGACGGGGAACGACTGAGCCGTGCCTGACCGATAGATCCGGTATCCTCACACGGCCATTCAGAACCGTTAACAACAAGCCATGTGGTTTTTTATTTGCTGAGACATTCTTAAATACCACTAATAGACCATTCTCCTAGAGTGAAATACTCCGTAGAAACAATTTTCCAAGCCCCGACTTAATTCACTTTTTTCAAGTCAGATCCAGTTTAGTCCCTTGGAGTTCATTGTAAAATGATTTGCCCTGTAAGAAACTTCTCTGGAGACAGCAGGAAATCCAAGAGGCCCCGTGGGTTCTCACAGTACCGTGGTGACGAAGGAGAGGGGACTGCCCCCCTGTGTTCGCACCGCTCAGTTATTTTGGCTCTGACTTTTTACCATCCCATCCATCGCGCTTCCCTTCCTGGTTCCCTGAGTGGAATTAATTTTTCTTTCTTCTCTGTAGTAACACCTTTTGAAATGTCAGAATCTCCTAGCGTCACACGGTGGCACGTTAATCCTGTTGTACTAGCATATTTACCGTTCCCCATCTGGGCTCTAGCGTTGTCTTGCAAAGTTGGTGTTGGGTATGGACTACTCCAGTTGAATTCTAAATCCTGTCTCCTTGTGGGTAAACATTTCCCCTGCAAAACATGAAGGCCACGCTTGTAGTTGAATTTGCTGCTAAATCTGCCTTTTTGCACTAACACTGTTCTGGTTCACTCATTTAGCATTCTGAGTGCTTCTGATGTCTTGCACCGTTGACTTAGGGCCTCATCAGATTGCTTTGGTTTCCTTGAATAGTGTCAGTATCAGCATCATCATTATCTAGATGTAAGGTACCTAAAAAGATTTAAAATTCAGGACACCAAGAGTATATAGAGTGCTATCTAAGTCATCCCACACTTCCTCCCCTCAGGGCACAGCGTGCCTCTCAAGACCCAGAGATTGCTGCTACCGGTCTCTGGTCTCCTCCCGGGGATATTCTTTGTATATCAGATAAATAGGAGTCTGCGTGCTTCCTGTGAAGTCTTCTGCTTTTCTATTTGGTTTGATACTCAGGTGTTTGCAAGGTGTTCTGTACCTTCATTTGTGTACCTTTATTTTTAGGGGTGGTTTCTCCTCAGTGCTATATAGAACTGGCATGTTCTTTTTAGTGGCTGCTTAGTATTCCACTGTGAGTATATATTATAAATTACTGAGTCATTCCCTTGAAAGCTGGTGGAATTTATATTATCTCCAACATTTTGCTACAGGTGAAGCTATTATAAATATACTCTACAGTCTGTAAAATATTCCAGTTTCTTTATGTACACGTGTGCTTGCAGGAAAAATCCCTGTAAGTGGAATTTGCATTTTTATTTTGGTATCTAATGCCAAAGTTGATCCTTTTTTGAGATATGATCTCTCTATGTTGCCCAGGCTGGCCTCACACTCATGATCCCCCTGCCTCAGCCTCTTGAATAGCTCGGCTACCATGGCCAGCTCAGGTTTGGTTTTAGGGGTGTTTCACCAGATTGCACTGCCCAGCAGCGCACAAGAGCCCTTTGCCCCTGCCCTTAGAGCCATCAGCTATTTTCCTTTTTCTCATCTGAGGTGAAAACTACTTGAATTTCAATTTGGGTTTCTTTTAGGAATAAAATTGATACCTTTTCATATGTGTAGTAGCCATATTTTGAACTTTAATTTTCATCAGTTAGCTGTTTATGACTTTTCTTTTTCTTGTTTGAGTTTCTGACTCTGAATTATAGGATTTCTTTACAAGTTAAGGAAATCAGTGTTGTCTTTTAGGTGTGGCATATTTTTCCCTGTGTGGTCATTTGACTCTTGGGCTTTCCAGGGCATATTTTTCTATTCTGAGATTTCAAATTTTTATGTACTAAATGTATCAGAGTTTAATGGTATCTGATTTTTTATATCATGTGTTAAAAGGGCAGCTAATTCCAGCTTTATTTTTCTAGCTTTTTTTTTTCTCAAAGAACTTCTGAGTAATTGACCTTTTCTCTGTGATCCACAGTAACATGACCCTTGTATTGTTTTCCCATGATTTTTTTTTTTCCTTTTTTTGATGGTACTGAAGATTGAAGTCAGGACCTTCTCACTGAGCTATATCCTCAGCCCCCTTTCATTTTTTGAGACATCGTCTTGCTGAATTACTCAGGTTGTCCTCTAACTCTTGTTCCTTCTGCTTCAGCCTACTACACTACTTCAACCAGAGTACTAGGATTACAGGCTCGTTGTACCAAGCTTCTGTTATGTCTTTGATTATATTCTAGATGCTACTTGATATTATAATCCCTGTGCATCAGTTTTTTTGGGTTTATTTGGTTGGTTGATTTTGGTTTTTTGAGGCAAGGTCTTACTCTGTAATTCAGGCTGGCCTTGAAGTCACTGTGTATCCCAGGCTGGCCTCACGTTTGCAGCGATCCTTCTGCCTCAGCCTCCCAAGTGCTGGGATTATAGGCATGTGCTCCCACAGCTGGCTCACAAGTGTTTTTTTTAAGCTGCTGAAGTTTTCAATTACTTTAACATCTGATAGGGTTTTTTTCATAAAGGTTTAGTATTTTTGCATTTATTTTTCCATAGTTAGTTGAAACCATCTTGTCTGGCTGTATATATTGTGTATATGTATATGTGGACACATGCTTTTCTGGTGTTTTGTTAGAACTGCATGATACATATAGATTTATTTAGGAGAGAATTAACTTACAGTATTGGATCTTTTTATCCAAGAATAAGTTATGTCTTTCCATGTACTCAAATTATATTTTATGCCTCTCAGAGGTATTTTAAATTTTTCTTCATGTAGATTTCATACATTTTTTCAAGCTTACATTTTTTTATCCTTTTGTTGCCATTTTAAGTGTGAAATGTTTCCTTCCATTGTGTTTTCTAACTTTCTATATTGGAAGGCTATTCTATACATTAATTTTATACATTAATTTTGTATTAGTATATGATTGCAATACGTGATTTATAGTAATTTTTCAGTCAATTCTCAGGTTTTTTTTTTCCTAAAATAAAATGACATCATCTGCTAATAATGATAACTTTGCCTCTTTCCAGTGGTATGGATCGTATTTGTTGGTCTGATTACACTGGGCCAGGCCTGCTAGTGTAACGCTGTGTGGTGGTGAGGTAGTGCTCTGGTGTTTTGCAACTGGTGACCCTTACATTCTGCCTGCCTGGAGTCTGTGTTTGTCAGTGCTGCTCACGACATCTCGTTCCTCTGTTGACAGCGCAGCGACGGTCCCTATGCTCTGGTGCTGGTGCCAACGAGGGAGGTAAGAGGCGCAGTGTGGTGTGAGTGAAGTGTGTACTTACAGCAATCTCCTGGTGTCTTCAGAGTGACTTTACCATTGTTCTCCTACTGCACAAAAAACTGCATACTGCTCTCCTTTGTATAGGAACCATCCTTCTGGTTCCTTCAAGGAGAAAAACTCAAATATTGTTTGAAAATCCTAAGTATGGAAAAGTATTTCTCTGCTATCTAAAAACTAATGATATTATTAAACCTCTGCCCCTTTAAAAGAAGTTAAAATATTCATTATTTTTAGGGATTTTTTTCCTTTAAAACATAATTCAAAAATAAAAACAGCTCTGAAAACAAAGTTTTTTGGGGAAAGAAGCTACTGCTAGTAAAATGTTTACTTATTCCTGGATGTGAAGCTTGTTATACTGTCTGTCTTGTCTGGGAGGAAATCCCTCCTGTCTGATCTGTTATTTGCCTCCAAGGCGATTTTGGGCTAGGGTGACCACTTTCTGTGTCAGATGCAGTCTCAGGTCAGCGCTTTACTCGGTCTGCAAGGCCCGTCTCTGCTCAGTGCAGCGAAGGAGCAGACAGCTTCAGCTGTGACACAGCAAAGTTCTCACTTCCCAAGGCACTTCAGGAGCCCAGACATGCAAGCTGTGCACACCCTTGGATAAGGAGTCAGTAGAGGCTTTTTAAATGGTAGTGAATAGTTAGAACCTGTGTTAATTTTCACTTTCTCTGGCTTTCACTGGAGGTGCTGTTTTGTTTTTGTTTTTGTAAACTTAGGAACGACCACCCTCCAGTCTTTAGATAACACAGGCATACTCTTAAGACACAGCAAATCTCCTTAAAGCAAAGCCCATATTGCATAACTGTTCTAGTGCATCCTTCGTGCATGTTACATTCTGTCTCTTTCTGAGGGGGCCAAATTCAAGTTGACTTAGTTTCATCTTCTTCCATCTTTGTGCACTATAGATTTGAACTTCTCTGTGTGACACTGTGGGAATTTGAGCCAGCAGAGGGAGCACAAAACATTATTTTTATGCGTGTCTAAGAAATAGACGTGGTGTCTCTACCCTTATTTCCCACATTGACAGGTTGCACAGCCAGGCTAAGAACAAGGTAGACTTCCAGAGGAGATTCTGTGTGTAGGATTTTTTTCCTCTTAAATCTTAACTTGAGATCCAGGTTTGGATCCTAATGAGTGCATATAAAAGGGAGGTGGGGCGAATGGACCATATTCATAGTCTAACTTTTTAATATTTTCAGCTCGCTCTACAAAGCTTTGACACTATCCAGAAACTGCTTAAGGTAAGACAAACCATGGGCTCAGTTTGATCTTTTTTTTGACATTTTGAGGAAAGATTAATATACAAGTCTCTATTTTCAAAGAGAGAGGACTTACTATTACCTCCCTCTTGTCTGGATATCTCTGCTTTCTGTAGGTTTAGTTTTCAGTTTGTACCGAACTAAACCTCAGTGACCATTGATTTCCAGCTTATCTAAATTACCCGTGTTTCCCACAGCCTAAATCCTATAATCTATTCATCATAGTCACTAGCAAGCAGCATACAGAGACTCACAGGTTACCACCCTCAGGTGAACCGGTGGAATGCAATAAAGAGCTGCAAGTAGGCTTTGTTCAAGAGAGAAAAGAGAAGGTACAAGAGCCAGGGCCGGACACCCCACCACACTGGATCATGAATTGCTCTGTCCTTTGTTTTATCAAGGGTAGGGAGTAGGAGGCTGCTTCGGTTTTGTCTTAACCCCCCTCCCAAAGGCAGCAGAGTTACTGGGCTTTGTTCTCTAGTCAGGTTCCGTGGGGAAAGGCAGGGAGCTGCTTGACTCACTTAAGAAGCTGAAGCTCATGCTAGTCTCCTACAGTGTTGGAAGCTAGTTATGTAGCTGTAGTCGAAGTTAGTGCTGACACCTTGAGCACAGCAATGCCCACAAACTGTGTACAGTAACGCACAGGTGCGACCTGCACCGTTCCTCTTCCCTGACTCGCATGAGTTCTAGGACTTAGACTCTGCCTGTGTTTGCAGGCAAGGGTGCCTTACATTGGTTTTGGTCTGTTGTCTTTCTGTAGCCATTCACCTGGATTGTGCCTGGAGTGTTGATGGGTGGAGAGAAGAGAAAATCAGAAAAAGCCAGGTAGGAAGAAGTGGCTGGTGTGCATTCTGGAATCTGTCTGTCCCATCCTATCAGCAAGGGTTGGTCCTCATGAACTAGAGAGAGCCTTCTCTCTCACTGTGCCTCCTGGTCCCTGGACACAGGGACAGATTGGGTGTTTATTGAAATACTGACAAACCTATGAACAGGTTGCCCTCTGATGCGGTAAGTGACAGGTCTCTGTCTTCTTAACTCCTGTCCACCAGGCACCCTGCAGCCCTACTGTTTACAACACAGCCCCTTTGTTGTGACTCCTTTTTGTGTCCACTGGGAGCTTAGCAACTTGTTTGCTCCACCCACATTCATTGATTCCTAAATCTGTGTTAGAACTTGTTATGGTGTCTAGAAAATTGTTGCAAATCCAAACCTGTGTGCATCATTTTTAAAACTTTTAGTAGTTATACCCAACTCTGCATGCAGCCTATAGCTGAAGAGTCAGTATAAAACTTGACACCTAAAATGCTGCTTAGGATTAAATTCAGCCATGAATAATAACAGTGAAAATGGCAGTGGCACAAACAATGCAGAAGTGTTTTTTTCTTTCACATTCAAGAAGTTCGGCTGGCAGGCTGAGGAAGGGGGGTTCCCAGGTCAAGTCCCACTGGGCAACTTAGTGAGAACATTTCCAAATAAAAATGGCTGGGGTGGAGCTCAGCGTGAAAGCCTGGGTTCTATCCCCAGTACCACGAAAAAGAAGGGGAAAGAAGTCTGATGGAGCCAAACTAGGGCTGGCCTGGCACTTCGGTGTCCGGACCCGGGCTCCTTGTGCCCCGTGGGAGACTGCCATTTTCAGGTTACCTTAGACTTGAATAATTGCTGGAGCCCCTGCCGTTAGTTCCAGTTTCTTGCCAGCAAGAACAAAGATGGTCATAGCTTCTTCCTACAAAGACACTTGTATGATTGGCCCACTCTCTTGGTCCTTTTATCCCATTGCTAAAACAGGCATGTGGCCAGGCTTTACCAGAAGGAAAACTAGAAAATATAGCCAGCTAACACTTATGTCTGCTACTATAAAGTATGGGATAGTGGTTCGGGAGTAGGAAATTGCATTTATTCTACATGCTCCGTGGGGCAGAGCTTAGGCGTATTTTGTGGACATTAGCTAAAGAGTTCATTATGAGAAACAAGCATTCTAGCAGTTGGAGCTCATTGGTAACGAATAGCTCACTTGGTTAGGAGGTTTCCTCAAGAACCAGCCGGATGACAATCCACATGTGCTGAAAAGGTCTGACGTCAGACAGAGACTGCTGGATGGTGTGGTTAAGATGCCGTCCGGGGGAAAGGCTTTATGGCGTGGCTGTGATTTCAGACCGTACTGCGTGCATCGGTAGATGTGGGTGACTCGGGTGCTCCTGTTTGTCCCCTTGCCATCACGTCGTTCCATATGTGCGGGAAGTGCATCTGTCTTTTGCCTGTTTTGTATGTTTTCTGTTGCTACAGCCCTGATTGATTTTCTTTCTCTTACGGTACATAATTTTAAACAGACTCCGCAAAGGAATAAATATCCTCATCTCAACTCCTGGACGGCTGGTGGATCATATAAAATCCACAAAGAACATTCATTTTAGCCGGATTCAGTGGCTGGTCTTGGATGAGGCAGACAGGTGAGCCTCATCTTGGAAGCAGGAGAGGTGGGAGGAAAGGCTGCTTCTCCCGTCTCCGTGGCAACTTCTGTAGCCCTTGGCGTTGTGCTTCCTCCCCACATAGTTTCTATTCTCTTTTACCATCACAGAATCTTGGATTTGGGTTTTGAAAAGGATATCACTGTGATCCTCAATGCTGTAAATAACGAGTGCCAGAAGCGGCAGAACGTCTTGCTGTCGGCCACACTCACAGAAGGTATGTGACAGGGAGGGGTGACCTGAGGAGGACCAAGGTGGAGCCGAGCTGTTGGCTGTGGGGAGGGGACACCCCCAGGGGACTGTTCTTCCCACTCTGTCCTGCACAGCCAGCTGCCTCATCTCGTCTCCCCAGGCTGCTGTGTTCCCCAGAGCTAGGAAGGGGAGGAAGGGCAGGCCCCAGCCAGTGTCGCCAGAGTGAGGATCGGGGGAGGACAAGGCTGGCCGCCACTGGCCCGGTGGTTTCATGACATTTTTGTTGGAGTTGTATCCAGAGAGAACAGGGCTCTTGCTCTTTTCCAAGTGCATTTTTGAGTGTAGTCATCCTACCTTTTACCTGACTAAAAATACCTATGATTTAGCTCCTCTCTTTAGGAGCCAAATTCTTATATTTATGGATGGGGAAACTAAGGCTTGGAAACACACGTACCACTTTATCGGAGCTCCCCCTGGGCTGTGTGTATGGACAACAAAAGCGCCTATAGGCTTCATGTCTGGTCAGCCTATTTGCTAGGCCACGTTGTGATGTGCACATGCCAGGTACCATTTGTGGGACCCATCGACACTCCTCAAAGTGTACTCTAAGGAGGGACTTTGAGAGATGGCCTGTGGGAAAGGGAGCGTCATCACCCCCTCTTGGAGATTCATGGTGCACGCTGACTCAGTAAAGAGAAGGCCTGTAGCAAAGAGGCCTGGGAGATGAGCTTCATCTAGGATTCTTGAAACTGCCTTGAACAGAGAATCCTTTCAAGCATAGGGTGCCGCAGCCTTGCTGTCCCTTTGGATATCTGTCCACAGTGAGCATTTGGAGCCAACGCTGGCATGAGTGGATCACTGTTAGGCTGGGTTCTGCCCCAGCAAGCTGGCAGGAGCAGATCAGGGTTGCGACTTCCTTCATAAACCTGGATCGATGCTGTGGAGACACACAGGTGTGGCCAATTTCCTTTGTCCTTTTTGTTTTTTATCCAAGGTGTGACACGGCTAGCAGATATCAGTTTACACAATCCAGTCAGCATTTCTGTCATGGACAAAAGCAATGACCAGTCCACCCCACAGGGCAGAGCAGTCCAGGACGCTGGTCCTCCACAGACCATCGACAGCTTTGCGATACCAGAGAGTCTCGAGCAGCATGTGACCTTGGTCCCCAGCAAGCTGCGCCTAGTCTGCCTAGCGTCCTTCATCCTACAGAAATGCAAGGTAGGGCTGTGGCCTGGCTCTGGCTGGCCCAGGGAAGATACACCTATTTGGTTTGTGTCTGGCATGGGTGGCAGCAGTTGAGGCACCATAAAAAATAAAACTGAATTTTTTAATTTGGCTCTGAGTTCGCAGATGGAGACCTTCACATATAATTTTCAATCTGCGGCTCAGGGTTCTGAAAAGAATCTGAGGTCAGTGATAGTTCTAACACTGCACTTGAAATTGGCCTTCAATATCTTTCCTGGGACTGACATGAGGGACATCAGGTGGGAGAAACATGCAGGATATAAGGCAAGTGTAGGAGCTTGTGCTTGTGTTTCTTAAGCAATCCTAGTGTCTGTATTCGTCTGGCAACTTTCTCTGGGCTGCAGGAGGATAGTAAGCTGTGGGGCCATGGGATGGAGCGCCAGGATTCACTGCACCTGTAAGGTCAGCCAGGCAGTCGAGCAAATGAAAGAGACAGAGCCAGGGGGCAGCTGTGCCCTAAAGTCCATTTGTTTGCCCGTTGGAGGTTAAAGCTCTGTAATTTTCCTTTCCTCTCTTCTTTCTAGAGCAGTTTTATTTTTAAAAATAATTCAAAACTCTGTCACCAGATAAGGGCCAGCCTAAACACATCCTGTAGAACAGTATTCACTTTAGTGTCTCCTAGGTTTAGAAGCGTGTGTTTATTTTTCCCTTGTCCTATAGTTTGAGAAGGACCAGAAGATGATTGTCTTTTTCTCCAGCTGCGAGCTGGTGGAGTTCCACTACAGCCTCTTCCTTCAGACCCTGCTGAGCCACACAGGGGCCCCCGCGTTGGGGCAGGCGCCATCTGCCTCCACACGATTAAAATTCCTGCGGCTGCATGGCAACATGGAGCAGGAGGTGAGCCCCCCAGCCAGCCCCACCCTGAGTCCCCAGGAAGTGGTTGTCCTTACGCTTTGGCAGTGTGAGGAAAGTGCCCACTGGAAGGAGGGGAGCCACTGGCAGTGAAGGGGACCACACCGCCAGGGGCACGTGGGCAAGGGGCGCCTATTGTTCCTGACACTCGTGCTCCAGCCGTTCTCTTCCACCTGAGAGCGCTCACGGCCGGCTTGGCCTGCGTCTTCCTCAGCCAGCTGTTCCGGCAACAGAGTACCACTAAGTAGCTGGCACCAGGGAAGGGTTTTGCCTTTTTAGTACCCAGTGTGTAATTAGGGCTTGATGTCTTCAAATTAAGAGCATTAATGGAGCTAAATTGTGGATCCCATATGGTACTGCTGAGCGCGGCTGCTGTCATTGTCAACAAGACACAGCGCTGCACTTCGCACACTTCGGGCTGGGAGTGGGTGCCGCACGCCGCCGAAGGGCCTCGGCCTGTCCTTCCTGTCGGTGAGATTTGAGCTGCGCCCTTTCCCCGGCTTTGGAAACTTCATTCTGCTGCTCTCAGCGGGGCCGTGCATTAGGGAGCCGGTAGAGTGAGAGGGTAAGGAGTACTCACTGGAGGGGCGGGATGGTGTGGAGCCATCCTATCCTCGAGGAGAGGTCACCAGGCAGCTTCCGAAATTACAGAGTGGACAACAGCAGAAATCAGTAAGGTAGACCAGATCCAGCTTGGAAATCATGACATTGTTAAAGCTTCAGGAGACGTTGAAGGTCTCGCATGACCTTAGACATGTCCAGCCCCTCTTTTTTTAGCTCTTTGGTGAAATAATTAAGGAAATGAAGGCCTGGAAAGTGACCTTGCCCAAGGTCACTCATGGACACAGCTTATTTACTACCAGATGATATTGAAGCCCCTGAGTACCCAAGCCTTTGTGAAATTTTGTAAACTGTTGGGTTTTACCTTTTGCTCCCTGATTCAGTCAAGCATACCTTAGTCTCGAAGACTTATTTTCATGCTCTAGTCTCACAGTCTTCCTTTCATGCTGAAGTCCCTATTCCTGGTGCCATATGTTGGTATTATCTGTAGTGACAGGTCCCGAGAACGAGGTGCCCGCAGATGAATAAGAAAAAGTAAACGATAAGAAAAACAGAAGGGCTAACGTCTGGGATCAGGGGGCCCACAGCCTCTGGGACTGCAGCAGCCCTGATCACCCATCTCGGGTGGCCTTTTATTAGAACCCAGAACGTAACTCAGACCAACAGGAGTAATTCATTATCTCTTTAATACTGTTTATGGTTTTGGGTTTTGTGTTAAAGCTTTTCATCCTGTGGGTCAGTACTCACCAGAAACATTCTGCAGGGTAAGTCAGAGGATGTGCACGTGGAAACGGACTTGGGAGACCCTGGGAATTTTAACAGGTCATATGAAAGATTCCCTAGTTGTGTGATTTCAGACTGCATATCCACGTTGGCACGGGGCAGAGCCTGGCATGGTGTTTATAGCTGTGCCCCCTCGCTGCACACTTCTTATGTGTCATATGCGGGCTGTGTGATCCCAGATAAGTATTTAACTTTTTTGTGTCTAAAGTGGGAATGATAGTAGTGTTTCCTTCATAGAATTATGTCGATTCATTGAGTGAGTGCAGATAACGCTGTTAAAGAAACACTAAACCTGCTCAAAGATAAGTAAAACTCTGAGCCCATAGGTATGTGTAGGCAAGGACTTTCTGAACAGAATGTCAGCTGCACAGGAGATAGTACCAAGAATCAACAAATGGGATCGTATCAAGTTAAAAAGCTTCTGTGCAACAAAAGAAACAACTAATCCATGAAGAGTTGACCTACCGACTGGGAAAGACTTCTGCTAGCTATTCCTCAGACATATTCTAGTGGGTAGAATGTATAAAGAACTCAAAAAATTAGACCCCTCAGGATAAAACACCCAGTCAAAAAATGGACAGTTGAAATGAATACACACTTCTCAGCAGTACAGATGGCCAGTAAACACACGAGAAACATTCACCATCGCTGGGCATTAAAGAAATATAAATTAAAACAACTCTAAAATTCCCTCATACCCTAGAAAGGATGGGTATCATCAATAAATCAAAGAACAACCAGTGCTGGCAAGGTTATGGGGGTAGAAGGAACACTGTTTCATTGTTGGTGCAGCCGCTACAGAGATCAGTGTGACGAGTCCTCAAAAAACGAACTAGAAATTCCATTTGACCTAGTTATTTCCCTTCTAGATATCTTCCACCCAAAAGTGGACGACATCATATCACAGTGACCCATGCATACCCATGTTTATAGCGCACAGTTCATAATAGCTAAGTCTTGGGAATGGCCTGTCTGTCCATCAACAGATCAAATGGGTGGAGAAAATGTAGTAGTTACACACACTGCAGCACTGCTCTGCCGTAAAGAAGGGTGAACTTGAGTTTTTTATAGGAAAATGGAGGTTCCTTGAGACAATAATGTTAAGTGAAATAAATCAGATACACAAAATATTGCATGGTTTCCCTGATAGGAGAAACTGAAGATATAAATAAAGGGCAAAACAAAAGGTGGATAATACGAAGTAAGGAGATACATCTTTTTCAAATGGGAAGGGGAACAGGAGCTGGAGGGAGAGGGAAGAGATGGGAAATAATGAAGCTGTGCTGTGGACATGCACCAACCCCCCACGAGGAATGTAAACATTGTGCACGGCAAACAGGGACTAATAAGATAAAGCCCTTAAAACCGGGCCTAGCAGCACAGTACTCAGTGAACAGCGGACGCTGTTATTATTGTTGTTATATCTTTTTCAGGAATCATTTAATGCACCTTTTTTTTGAGACAGGGTCTTGCTATGCTATTTAGGCTAGTTTTGAACTGACTGTATCGCCCAGGCTGGCCTTGAACTCACGGCAGTCCTCCTACCTCAACCTCTCAACTGCTGGGATTATAGACTTGAACCATCATGCTTGACTAATTTAACTTTTTTTATAGCTTAAAAGTTGTTAACATTTTACTCTTGCTCTGTTCATACACAGTTAGCCTGCACAGCGTCCCTGTGAGCAAGGCAGGAGGCAGGAGTGGGTCCTTGCCTCTTTACTCTTAAGTGTCAAGGTCACATGTCTTGTTCTAGACTAAGCTTGAACAGTCCCAGTTACATGTTCCTGGCCTGTCACCCTGATCACTGCCCATAAGACCTGAGTGTAGGATTGGTCTGATCCCAGGCGAGCTCAGGACCACTGCAGAGAAGTGATTATTAGAAGGAGATGATGCACATGGTATTTTCTCACCCCAGCTCGGAATACATTATGCCGCTGGGGACATAGCTCCGTGGCACAAGCGCCTGCCTGGCAAGTGCAAGGTCCTGAGTTCATTTCCCGGTACCAGAAAAAAACATACGAATACATTATGTCCAGTCTTCAAGCATTTCACAATCCTTTAGGAAGCCTTTGACAGTGCAACCAATAAACAACATGCCTTTGTTGATGAGGATTGCAGCAAAGTGGACAGGGAGGGCAGCATTAGTCCTGCCCTTCTCTGTGGGTGTGTCCCTTAGGCAAGTGTCATAACCTTGTTGTACCTCTCTTTGTGCATTTTCCTCTTGAAAATGGTGAGGGTGTACCTCTCACAGGCTCTTTACGAGGGCTAGGGTCCAGTCTGAGGCAGGTGCTTGGAAGATGCTGGCTGTTGCTGCAGCTCCGTGTGGAGCTCTGACAAGGTGTACCGTGGTGTCCAGACTCAGTCGAAGTGTGTGTGCGGGGAAGGCCCGAGTCACGCCCAGTGTAGGGGCTCACAGCGCGGAAGGGGAGACTGCACTTCCCTTTTTTCAGATTTTTAGTAATTTGGTTCTGTTCCTTTTTATTTGTTGCTGGCAGGCAGATGTAGCCAAATCCCAAGCTCTTGGACCACTGTGAGTGAAGCACACTCCGGGTAGCCTGCAAATTGGAGCTGAGAACCCTAAGATGTGCTCTCCTCTTTGTCCAGCAGACCTATTCTTAGGGACTCAACCCAAGGGGACGCGAAGAGTGTGCACGGCAGCTTCTCTGCACAGATGTCTGCACAGCACCGGTCGTGACAGTGAGAAACTAGAGACAGCTCAGTTGCCAGTGATAGGATTTTGGTCACATCCATGATGGTGCAGCCCTTCAGCAGAACCGTTTTGCCGTATGAGATGCCGTGGACTTTGAATATTTATGCCCTGAACAGATGATCAGATTAGATAGAGACATAAGAGCATGGTACTAGTATAAATAGTAGAGTGCTATTTGTTAAATTTTTAGCCTTCTGCCAGGCATGGTGGCACATACCTGTAATTCCCAGCACTCAGGAGGCTGAAGCAAGAAGATCACCATGAGTTCAAGACCAGCCTGGGCTATGTAGTGAGTTCAAGACTACCTTACACTATAAACCAAGAGCCTGTCTCAAAAAAAATATCAACAATTATTAGCTTTGCACAGTAGCAGTATTGTAGCCAGCAAAGTCTATCAAAGGTACGGTTATTGCTAACAGAAAACTTTTAAAGCCATATATTTAGTTGCATTATGCATAGAAGGGGAACTTGGGTAACATTAAAGTATTGCTAGTAGTAGGGTTTGCACCTCGTGGTGGGATTTTATTTTTTCCTTAACTTAAATATAATTTTTCTACATTTAAGATATATAGCTTAGTAAATTTTTTTTTTTATAGGACAATGTTTGAAAAATTGCCCTACAGGGTGGCATTGTTCCTCTAGAGCACTGACTGCTAGGAGAATGTGCTAGGACAAAGTCTGTCTGGACCACATGTATAACTTGTGGCCCTTGGCCTTCCCTGCCCTTGTCATTGGCACCCACCCTGGCAGTGGCTCACTGAAGCGTGCTGCCCTTGAAGCTGTGCCTCTATCACAGTCTCGGAGGTTGGGTCTTGTTAATGCAGGGTCTTAGCAGACATTTTCACGTCTTCCTCTTTCCTTGGGAGCCCCTCCGTGCCTAAAAATAGAGCAGTAGGAGATCGGGGAAGTTATGGAAATCTTAAGCTGCCTTGCTGGGATGTGTCTTGGTGTTTGTAAGGTTCTTTTTTGTTTGTTTTATTTTTTTTTTCTATAGGAAAGAACAGCAGTGTTTCAGGAATTCTCACATTCCAAAGCAGGCGTCCTCCTTTGCACGGTATGTATCTCTCTGCTCTGAGTAATGGTGAACTTCAGGAACACAGGTTGTAATTTTCAGTCTCTTGACAGCCTGTTCTATGGCCAGCCCCCTGGAGAGCAGGAACACCGGGGCCTCCTGGTGTGGCTGGTGGCTCTGCACCCCTGGCTTGTCATCACCTGACTGTGCCACAGATAGCTGGCTGCCACTGTGCAGAAGACTTGGCAATTTGCTCACTAATAGTGGCAGCTGTTAGTCTGAAAATGTGTGAATCTTGGCGATTTCTAGCCACCAAAAACTTGTAAATTACAGCTATCGGGAGTAATTAGAGCTGAGAAAGTCTTTCCACAGCAAAATGACTCTGCTTGCCTCTGCTCACCCTTGTGAAGGGAAATAGATGCACACAGGAAGATTTTGTTTGCTCTTGTCAAAAACTGTCATTTGCCCTAGGATTTCCAGGCCAGTTCATCTGGCCTCAGTTGGCCTCGGTTGGTGCTGTCCAGCGATACCTCCTGCAACACAGACCTTTTTAATGCCCTTCTCCTGTGCTCTTTAGATACTGAGAACTACACCGTCCCCGTCCCACCTCTCTGGGGATTCCCTTTACCGTAGCTGTTCCTCTCCCGAGATTAAAATGCCTTCTCTGCCTGTGCCACCTTGGGTGCCACAGCCTGACTCGCCACGGGTTATTGGAGAAGTCCCTGTATGTACAGTAATGAAATTGGACTGTCAGTTTAGTAAGTTCAGTGAGCCCATGCTGGGCAAAAACAAAGATCTTCATGTAGCATTTGAATGCCTCATTTGGTGCAGCTACTTTTTTTCGGAACTCCTTACTGTTCAGCTTTAAAGGTAAGGGAGACAGTTTTCTTTGTAAATGAAGAGTGTGTAGGTGAGTGCAGATGTGTGTGTGTGCATGCGCTCATCCACACGAAGGCCTGCTTGGAAACCTGCTCATCCAGCGTCCGCACACATCTGTTCTTACACGCACCCAGCAGAGTGGCTCCATTGACACCCATCACTCAGACCTGAGTTTCAGCTGGAGTCAGTGCCTCCTGAGGAGCCCAAGTAGCTCTTCCATTGATGAAACCAGCTTGCAAGTCAGATGCTTGTGTTCCAAACCAGTTTGAAGTATAAAGATTTGGTCCAAATGATAAGGAACTTGTCGGTAACACACAGCGTGTCAGCACTAACGTTGGGGCGCCTTCCCTCTCACCCCCACTGCCCTTGCTGTCCACCCTTTTGCCCAACGGGACCCTCTTTCAGTTCCTTAAATGTGTCTTTCTGGCCTTGGGCTTTGACACACGCTCTGCCTTCTGTCTGGAAAAGCCCCCCAGTTCCAACTTTGGCCAGCTCCCACTTAGATCAAAGCTTCAGCTGCACTTCTTCAGAAGCCGAATCCTCTGTTTCTCTTGGCAGTGCTTATCATACCTAGTCTGGGTGTTGTCACACCAGGTGATAAGCTCCATGAAGACGGACTGCAAAATGCTCTCAGTTCCATCCCAGTGTCTAACGCAGCGGACACAGTAGGAACTTGGTATTTGTGGTCATTTGAGTGGGTAGGTGGGGCGCCAGAATGTCAAGGTCAAGAACCACTTGTCTGCTTTTTTCTAAAGATTGAGAGAAGTGGAAATTAGTATACTTGTTCACTGGAAATAAGGTCGTGTTTTCATCCACATGGTATTACCTGAAGAGTGAATGTCATAGATTGTCTGCATTGAAACAGAAAGCAGTGGGAACCTTTGTGTTGAAATTTAGGTTAGGGTAGTAACAAAATGTTTTCTCTTTGACCATTAAGAGCCCAGATTTATCCCTGGGTTTCCAGTATGCAAAAGTTACTTTGCTTTGCAGCATGTAAAGGTGTGTAGTAAATGTCCAAGAAAACTCTGGGTATCTGAAGTTCAGTATTTTGTTATTCCATACCTCTACATGGGAGAGAAGATCATTTCTTCTATAATGTAATTCACAGTGGTTTCCGAGGCACATGATCATTTCCTTGTTCTGGCTGGCTGGTGCCCACAGGCTGTGATGTCAGCTAGACAAAGAGCACCATCGTCCGGCCACAGCGCAGCGCTCCAAGTCCCTGTCCACCCCAGCAACAGGTGCAGTGCACACTGTCCTTTGTGCACCGTCTGATTTCCCTAAATTCTCCTGGTCATGGCCCTTGGCCTGTCCACATCAGTCCACTGCACAGACATCTACCACAGTGGCACATTCTCTTTACCCTGCAGGGTTTGGAGAAGACCTGGGAGGGGCTGGCTCTTGCCTTCCTAAGCCAGGGTAGGGGCCCAGTTCCCAGTGAGGAGAGGTTTCCTTGCTCACTTACAGAAATGCTGCTGCTTCTGCCATAGTTGTGTGCTTTAGCTTTGTCTGAGAGCCCAGGGTGTGTGAGGCACTTGCACTGTGATAGATGGTGCTGCGGGTGGTGGAGATGCTGTCACTGTGCTCCTCTTGAGCAGCCTGTTGAGTGCCAGGCTATCTGAGCACTCTCCAGGAGCCGCCTTGGTGTTAATGAGGAACGAGGGCCATGTTAGGACAAGGCAGATGGAGAACTGGCTTCTCTCGATAAAGGGGCTTTGTGTTGTTAATTGTTGCATAGGGATTTCTCCCTCTTTATACCATCCATACCTTTGCCGTTGTAATTTATCATCCCAAGATTCTCTTACAAGGCCAGAGAAGGCTGAGGGTCTTTATGAAAATTTGTAAGTTGTTCTATAACTACACAAAATAGCAGAGTGACACTGTGTCCTTTAGTGTTTGAAAATCCCCTCCCTGACTCTGCTTTCCTGTCATCAAGGAGCAGCTAAGCGTCGTGTGAGTGTGTGTTATGCTGATTATAAGCATCTTTAAAGTGAGGACCTTTGTAATTTCAATGCAGGACCAGACACACAGCTGAGGAGTGGCTGTTCAGTGGTGTGGGTCTGTCTAGAGATGGAGCTTAGGGCGGTTGGGGCAGGGGACCACTCTGTGAAAGATGAATCTCCACACATTGGTGGTATAACTTTGTGTCCTCTGGAAAATGAGACCCACAGAAAAGCCAGGTTCAGAGGGAGGAGGGACAAGTAGGAGAAGTAATTTGCAAGTTCAAGGCACACTTTCCCAAATGGAATTAAGAAATCAAATGAAGCAGATATGAGACCCTGGATTATCTATGAATTTGTATTCCCCCTGCTTACGGGGAAAAGCTCCCCCTAAGCTAAAGGAAGGGAACGTGGGCTGTTTGTACCACTGCTGTGTTGACGCCCCGAGAAAGAGAAATACCACTGAATGGCGAGAAAATGGAATTCCAGTCACCTCTGGTGTTAAGGCCAAACTGGGCTTTGTCTTGGTGCTCATTCCCTCCTCGGATGTCCATGAGCAAATGGAATATAGTGACCTTGTCCACAGGAAGGACGGACCTCCCGCTCCTCCAGGGCCTGCTGGCCGAGCACCCGTTGGAAGGAGTGGACTGTGGTTGTATAGTATGTGTGTCTTTCTCAGGGGATGTGCTGAAATCCCAGCTCTGCGTTCTCTCTCTCCATCTCGGTCTCTGTCTGTCTGTCTGTCTCTTTCTCTCTCTCTCTTCCTTTACGCTATTGCTGTGTTATGCTTGAAGCACTATTAGTTATGTCTGTGCAGTTCTTAATTTCCTCTCCTCCTGGGGAATTTCCACTGTGCCAGGCGGCCAGGAAACAAAGGAGCTAAGGCTCTAAGGGTCACAAGAATGTCGGCTCAGCGCCCCACACAAATGTGGACTTCTCACTGTCCTCTGGGGCATGCTTTTCAGGTAAAGTTCATCTTTCCCATTTTATTTCATTGGTGTTAATGGGAAGACATTTGGAGATGGTTTGCTGTTTACTCAGTTACGCTAACTCATGTTGCCAGTTTTTTGGCGGCTCCAGCCAAGATCTCTCGACTCTGACAGCTTCTGCACTCTCCCTTTCCTCCTCTGATTACGCAGCCCAATCTGTCACCCGGACAACAGGGGCCTGTACCCTGCTGATGGCTTTCCACACACGGCAATAATGACTCTTGGCAGGCCGGGAAGGCGTCAGAGGCAAGTTTGCCATGTCCCTTCTCAGAGAGACGGCAGCCCCCTCTCCCTGTTAGTAAAAGCACTTTGTGAGGTTCTTGGGTAAATAAATGAGTCATTTTAATCCAACTGACAGGCTGGCACCTGAGCAAGCTGCCTTCCATCTGTACTCCTGGGTCTCATGGAGGCAGCCAGTTGTCAAGCCCAGGGCCTTCAAGGCCTTGCTGGGGAGTGTCTTTCAGAACTGACTTTAGTGATTCTTTTGCCCTAATTAGTAAAGGAATAGAGCTGGGCTGCTACAGCATGTAAATTCTGGGAGCAGGCAGAGGACCGAGCCTTTGTGAGTTCAGCAGGTCCCACTCCTGTTGATGAGTGCAACCGGCTGGGGCTCCTCTGGGGTCCTTTGCCCGGGGCACTGACGTGTGATGAGGGAAGAGGGAAGGGGCACTTAAATCACCACCATAACCACGTGAGCGGAACACTCGGATTTCGGGTCCTAGGGCACTTTCAACATACAGGGTCTCACCTGCTCTTCACAGCAGCCTCATAATGTGACAGGCAGTTTGCAGCCCTTGTGCAGGGGGCCACCAGGAGCTCAGAGCTGACTGGACTTGTCCAGACTGAGGCCAGGGTCTCTGCCTAGCCTGCTCCCTCCAGCACTGGCTCCTGCCCCTGCTCCTTAGTAGCCAAGACTGGGCACGAAGGGAGCACTGCACTTAAGCAGTGGCTGGCTTGAGTCTGGGTGAGAGAAAAGGGGACGGGGAGACAGCGCCCTGCCTGAGAGGAGTGGAGACCAGGGTCTCCAGGGTCCAGGGCTGGGCCCCCACATAGGGGGAAGGGCCTCACAGAGTCACCATGAGGCTGCTGGTGTCCCTTATCACTCAGTGTTTCCACTGTGTGGACTCAGTGAGTTTCACAAACGCCATGTGCTGCTTGAAAGTTTTATCTGTTTCCTGGTTGAATTTACTAAACCAAGGAGTGTTAAATTTCTTACAGAGCCTGTCTGTAAAGCTCAGGCATCTCATTGTCTACATGGGTCTCCTATGGCAGAGCACTTAAATAAAATAAATCGTTTCTCAACAAGAACTTAGCAGATTTAAGGACGCATCAGCTTTCCTAAAGACATGGACTGTGGGTGGCGTAGAAAGCCAGTCCCACCCACTTAGATAGAGTGCGCTCTAAATTGTGTTCTCAGAGCCACCAGCTCCCGGAGCCCGTGGGCTGTCCGAGACACTTCATGGGTGGCTGACACGGACTTCGCTCACCCACGTGCAGGTGCAGCCTAGCACCACTCACAGAAGACCAGGGTTCCCCTTCCCTGGTCCCCCTGGACGAATAATGTCGGGACAATTTCTGCTTAGTCCTGCCTTTGACCTTGGGGGTGCAGGGAGGGTGCTTCTTACCAAAACTTGGCCTAAGGTTATTTTTCAGAAAAGCTGTGGCTGTACAGATCCTTTAAGGTTACTTAAAGTAGTGGGGGAGGCTGCACTACAGAATTTCTCAACTCTTGAGTAGAAAGAAGGGACAGTAAACCCAGAAAACCATCCTTCACAGCCATCCGGTTAACTGTTGACACACATCAGAGGCATGGGTAGAATCCAGGGTCATAGTGAGACATGTTAGGAATATTCAGGGGTTTCAGTTTTACCTCCTGATTATTTATCATTATGAAGAAGAAAGGGGCCTTCCCTGTGGAAGCTGGTGTACACCCCTGCCTTCGGTAACTGAGCCTGGCGTCACCCCTCAGCGTAAGCCGCCAGTGTGTAGCCCTGGCACGTACCCCAGCCTAAGGTTGTGCTCTTGCCAGGATGCCAGGATACAGGTAGCCAAAGCTAGAGTGTGGGCACTTCCTCCAGACTCCTGGACTCTTCAAAACACTAAGGAAGTCATGAAAAGGCAGGGGTGCTGTTCCAGATTCAGGAAGTCTAAAAATACACACACACACACACACACACACACACACACACACACAAATAAAATAAATAAATAAAAAGATACACGTAGAGCGCTTGATCTATGATTCACTCCTGGATTGAGAAGGAAAAATAACTAGGAAAGACAGCCTAGATCAATTGGAGAAAATTTAATATGGACTGTTTATGAGAAAATAATGATCTTCAGTGTTAAATTTTTTTGTGGGCAGGGCCTTCCCAAGGAAGTCCTGGCCCTGCCCCAAGGCTTCACGTTGAGCTGCATTCCCAGCCAGCCCTTTTTATTTTTTGAGACAGGGTCTCTCTAAGTTAGTCTTCATGCCTCCCAGAGTGCTGGAGTACGACGATGCTCCACTATGCCTCCATTTTGGAAGTTTGATGGTGTAGTAGTTTCTTAGAGGAATATCCTTGGGCAGTGCGATCTGTTCTGGCCTTGGAACGATAAAGTGGGCCTGGATTTGTGCTTACTGCTGTTTCTTAGCTGAGTGTCGCTGCACAGTTTACTTGGCCTTTCTGAACCTTGGTTTCCTCATCTGTTAAATGGGGTTGATCAGCCAAGATAATGCAAGTAAAATGTTAAGTACAGCATCTGGTGTGAAGTAAGGCCTCAGAAAATAGTAACTGAGGGTAGTCTTACGACTGTTAATGCTGAAGTTGAGTTCTGAGTGCAAAGTATTGCTAAGGACTAGGAGATTCCGTTTTCTAGTCACTCTGCCAGACCAGGTTAAAAAAGAAAATAATTCTCCATTGCTCTGATAATTTTTCAGCTAAGTCTTTGGAGCAGTGTGCAGGTTCGGCTGCACTTTCATCTAGCGATCAGAGGGGACAGCAGTTTCCTTGGGCCTTCATGCTCTCCGAGCATCACAGGCCCAGGCTGCAGGAATACTGCAGTCTCTGCCGCAGGTCAGTGCCAGGAACCTGCCACCCACCCTTACCTTTGTTAGTCCACCTTGCTGGCAGATCTGGAAGGCTTAGGGTGATAATCCATGGATGCCTTTATCACAGTGGCTTTTCAGATGCAGTGTGAGTGGGTAAGACATGCTTCTCAGAGCTCTTACCTGAATCGCTGGCAGTTGCAGTGTGAGTCCTAGTGCTGAGTCCTTCTCTGAGTGACCTGGGTTGTGCAAGGGTTCTATCCCACTTGCCCCAAATCATAATTTTTAACCTTAATTACAGGCTTCCGAGGCTCCTTGAGCTGCCTGAAGTTCAGTGTGGAGTTGTGTGTGTGTGAGTGAACCCTCAGTTGTGTTAGATGATGAGTGTATCCATGGGCCCACCGCCACTCCAAGTTCACACACTCAGCCCTCACCATATTCTTTTTTATTTTGAAGGACGTTGCAGCTCGGGGCTTAGATCTCCCGCAAGTCACGTGGATTGTTCAGGTAATTTTTTAGTTGTTCAGGTGTGAGCTTGAGGCAGGAACATATGATCACGAGCAGATGCACTGGCTGTAAGTAGAATAATTATTATTACCCTCTTGGGTGTTGCCCTGGTAACCAGGCAGCAATCAGCCTTATCTGCACAATTCTCCTGACATCTTTTCTTAACCCAGCTCACCCACCACTACAGCACAAAAGCCAGGATGTGCAGTCACAGGAGGGAGGGAGGTGGCAGGTTTTCCTGTTCCCAGACTATTTCGTGTCACAAACCAAAGTTTCTACAGTCTGAAAATAACAGGAATTATCTGGGCCCCTGGGAGGCCTCATTGTGTCCAGAGGAGATGGCTCAGCAGTTCTGAGAGCCATGTCCAGCAACATTGACCTTCGGGGAGCAATTAAGTTCCTGACAGCATCTTACACATACCTCTAGCCTTAGACACTTTGCCAGAGGGTACAGGTGTTAGCACTTTAGTGAGTTTCATTTTGTTTTATCTTTTCACTAGTGTGCAGAATGGTATTTTTAAGCCCTTCTTTGTGGGGCTGGAGGACACGTGTCCTGTTTACATGAGTCATGGTTTATTCACATTTAGTGCAATTGCATGCCTGTCTCCAGCTAGGAAATCTGAGCTGCTTGTCACGGATGATCACTTTAGGACTAGACGCATTGTGTCTTCTTTTCTGCCAGCCACAGAGGAGTGGATGGGAGATGAGAAGGCCAGGATCATTGTAATGTGCTGGAGGCTGGGCACAAAACTGATCATGGAGAGCCTTGCCCTGGGACTGTCCATTTGTGGACCACGCCCAGCTTCCCGTATAGTATATTCACCTTGGCCCACTGATCTTTGATCCTTGTGGCAGTGGAGGAAAAAAAAAACAAAATATAGAGTTGTTTGATGAAGACAGTATTACTGCCAAGGTAACACAGCATTTTATGTTACCCATGCTCGGCTGAGCTGGGTTCTACCTTCTCTTTGAGTCAGGAATGGGCTCCTGGGAGCAGGAGCTGGTCTGCACCTGCAGGGAGCCAGCCAGGCACCGCCCTGTGTCTCCAGCAGCAAAGGGGTGGTGGGGGCAGCAGCAGAGGCAGCTCTGCCAGCACAGTGCACTGTCCTCTGTTACCTGGCCCCTGCTGCTCTGTCTACCGAGAAATAGGCCAAGGTCATGCGGTCATCTCAGAGAGATCTGCCCTGCCTGCCTGCATTTTCACCTTGCAGTCACCTCGATGAAAAGATGCAAATAGGAAAATGCAGAGACCTGTGGAGAAGTAAAATTAAAAAGGAGATATTGGGCTGAGGTGACGTCTCGTTTATCTGAAACTTGGCCACCGTTCACATCTGCGTGTCAGCCTTGTTACTCCAGTGAAGCCAGGAGTTGCAGGGTTGAGTGACTTCTCCCTGTGATTGTGTTAGAGTAACCACAGCACCAAGGCCTAATTCTTGGGGTACCTGGAGGCAGGTGCGGGGTATTGCACTTCCAATTAATGGCAATCCCTTGATCTTGAATGCCTTCGTTTTTGTTACCCTCTTTAGTACAATGCTCCGTCTTCACCTGCGGAATACATCCACCGGATTGGAAGGACTGCCCGGATTGGCTGCCATGGGAGCAGCCTGCTCATTTTGGCGCCTTCGGAGGCAGAATATGTCAACTCGTTGGCTTCTCACAAAATCAAGTGAGTCAGAAACCTGATCGGGGTTTCGGCTGATCTCGCCTAATTAACTTTCCATCACTTCTCGTAGTGGCTGGGCCTTGTAAGCTGCCGAAGAGCCATTAACCCTTGTGATCCTAAATGAGTCCCGGAATAGCCAGTGGCAAAAACTGAAACCCTTAATGCCTTGACAGTTTTCATTGGGTTGCCAGATGAAGTCAGGACAATCTGTTGCGCTTCATTTTTTCTTTGAGATTAAGGTCTGTGATTCATTTTCCTTACTCTAAAAAGTAAGAATGCACAACCCTTACAGCCAGCTTTTCAAACAGTTTTTATTCACCGTTTTTATTTCTTGCAGTTAAACATCTCAAAAGTTCAAAGTTGCTTGGTCTTCTTTAAAAAACAATGCTTTTTTTGTTTTGTTTTGTTTTGTTTTTAAAACAATGCGTTTTACACATCACCCTAGTCCCTTCCCCCAGGAAAATAGGCGCAGGGCGGGAGGGGGTGGGGAAGGTAGGAGGGAGATTTCAAGCATTGTGATGGCACCCTGACTACGCACGCAGGACTTTGCAGCTGTCCTCTGTGTTGGCAGTGTCGCGTGGCAAAGCTCAGAGGCCAGCCCTGGCTGCAGGTTCCGTGGGAATGGCAGGGAAATGATTTGCCTGGGCCCCAGAGCTGGGTTTGTTGTATTTTCCTTGAAGTCTCTGGCACCTAAAGTAGCAGGGTCTCATAATAGGATAAAATTCTAAAGGCATACAGTTTTTCAAACATGAACTGTGAAGGGTTTCTTCTGCTCTGACATAGCACAGTGATGGATATAAGTATTTTTGGAAGCGAGGGAAGAGCCGCTTGTCTGCCTGGGCAGTGGGACCTGCCCCGCCCAGCAGCACCCTCAGCTGCTCAGTGCTGCTAAGAGCCTGCACTGTGCTCCCAGGTATGGTGGTCTCATTCTGGGTTTTTTCCTGCCCTCTTCTCAGTTTTATCTAAAAAGATTACAAAGTTCCCCTACCCCCTGATGTGGGGCCTGGTCCAGGGCCGGCAGACCAAGGCCACCACTCTCCATCGTGTATGTGCCCCAGCCATTGGTGCCGCATTTCCTGTCCCACGGAGCTCCTGTCTGTGGCTGCAGGATCATCAGACTGCCTAGGGTCATCAACATGGACATTCGTCAACTAAGGCTCTTTACACAACACACCCGCTTCCTTTGACATGGGAGAAGGCAGGCGCCCGCTCCTGATGATTGTGCCAGATGGCCCAGGATGTAGTTTGGGTTTTCCTTTTGTTTAACCCGTTCCTTGATACAGTCTATTGATTGAAAGAATAATCTTTGTTTCAGGACGATGTACATATTTTCTCTTATTAAGGAAATCTCGTGTCTTTTAGTCACTCAGTACTCCCACCCCCTCCCAGAGGTGCCACTCCCTGCAATCCATGTCCCCAGGGGTGAGGCTTCCTCTTTGCCACCCTTTCAGCAGGGCCTGCACCTCCCAGGCGGGTGGGCTGGGGAAGTCCTAGTTGAGTAGAAATAAAGCCCACTGCCAGAACAGGCCCTCTCTTCTCCTCTCCCCCTCTCCCGCAGCTGGGGGCGTCCCAGCACTGGAGCTTTTTCGCTGGTCACAGGATATATATTGTACGGAGGTGTTCTGAGAACACTGGTGGGCCCACAGTAGGTTCAGCACCACCCCTTTGCAGCTTACTGGTCTCTCTGTGGCATCTCTTCCTCTTCTGCCAGCTTAGACCTGCGGGCTCCCGTTGACCCGTGCTGGCACTGGGTGCTCAGTACAGGGCCACCATTAGAGGTCAGATGATTGGTGCCAGGGTCCACAGGTCGGGTGCCGCTGTCTCTGTGTTGCCCTTTTCTTTCATAAACATACTCAAGGCAGTTGCTATGAAGGACTCAGACGTGAAGCTAAAACTGAGAAAGGAGAACAGTGGTTATCACAGACAAGAATTACTAGTGAGCCAGGTCTGTTTTAAGGACATGCCAAGCACAGGCGACCTCTGTGGTGTTCTCATTTGTGAAAACACTGCTGGCCGGCATTCGGGTGAGACTCAACATGAGGCTCACACACAGAGGCACTAGGCCGTCTGGAGCTGAGGGCTTGGGGAGGACCTTGAGAAGGACGGCAGTGGGTAAGTGTCAGACAGAGGAGAGCTGGGGCTTTAGTGGAGAGGATGCAGGGTGGGCCGAACCTTCTGGCGAGGAGCGGAAGCTCCTGTGTGAGCCCCTTGCTGCTGTCTGCCGAGAACCCAGCTGCTCAGGGCCTGGGGCCTGGCCTGCCTTGTGGTAGATGGAATCAGCCTGGAGGGACACTGCAGTCTGGGTTGCTACAGGTACGGCCGTGCGTTACACTTGCCGGTTTCTGTTTGAGGAGAGGCTGTAATAGGGGCTATCAATGGACACACTGTTTCCTTGACTTAATACAAAATCAAATCAAATCCAGTAAGAACTAGTTGCAGACTGAACACTTTCGGAGCCCAAACAGTGCACTCTGAATATGAAGAGAAGGAGGCAGCCTGTGTCTGTGCCTGAGAACACGAGACCCAGCCGCAGGGTGCTGGCTGCCTGGTGAACTGCAGGGAAGATCTGGAAAGGCAGGCAGCGGCTCTCGGCGGCGAGAGTGCCGTGCCTGGCCTCTTGTGTGGCAGGGTGGGGCTCACTCTGACAACTCAGTTTAGAGACTGGGCAAGGGGCAGGCTCGCTGGGCCAGCGCCGCCTCAGGCTAAGGGGACTCGGAACTTCGGAACTTCGCTTCCGCGTCCGTTTGACTTCTTTGTATTTGCTAAAACCTTAACTTTGTAAGACCCCGTTAAATGCATTGCTAATGAAAGTCATCATTGGTTCATTAAAATGGAAATACCTCATCAGAATGTGCATGTCTTAGATTAGGCCTGAGACAGTCCGAAGCACTTATTTATTTTTCTCTCTCTTCCTAGCAAGGTGGGTTGATTCAGATCTGTTGATAGGACTGTTAATATTCCCAGTAGATTGTTTTATTCCTGAGAAGGAGTGATCCTTAGAAATAGGAAGGAGGCCCTTTTAAACTATACCTCATCCCAGTCTGCTCGGCTCCTGTCCCTGTCGGATGTGGCCCGGCGTTGAGCCGTGCGTGCGACACTACGCCCTTCTGTGGCCTGTCTAGTTTTTGTATCCCTGGCTGTGAATCGTCATCCTTTTTTTCTCTCTGTGTCAAGATTTCACTCCAAGTCCCTTTATTTCTTTTTCATGCATATTTTCACTCTTTTTTTTTTTTTTCTCAAGAGAAAAGGTGATGAACAGAAGCAGATGAGATAGAGAAAAAGGTAGGACAGGCTGTGTTCCCCTGTCGGTTCCGAGGATCCCCTCTCTGAGGAAAATGTCCCCCAGCAGTGTGCTGGCTCTGGTGCTCACCCCTCAGGCCACTCTGCTGTGGTCGCCTCTCGCCGCCACCACTACTGTGAGAGAAGGCCGTGCTCCTCCACAGGGCTGGGAAGTGGCAGCAGAGGAGGCTGCGGGTGGAGGCGGGTGGTGGTGGGAGGTGACACAGCTCAGGTAAGTGGCTGCCATACGTGGCATTTTCATTCACAGCCTTGTCACAGTAACCTTTGGGGAAAGGGAGAGAATTGTCTGCTCCCACGTAGGAGGTTGCCACTCGTGTTCTAATTTGCTGTTACATTTTCAAAGAAAAAAACCATGCAACAAAATCACTTGTCTTTTTATGATCTGCTTTTCCCCCCAGCACGCTTTCTGCCCCTTGCTTTCTCCCGGAAGTATCGTTTCCGCAGTTCGTATTTCCTCCCGCCTCGACTGTGTGGGTCGGTGTCTGTCCTGCACTGTGGCCTTCCAGTCAGCACTGTGGTGTTTGTGTCCCAGACTCCTCGAGGGGCAGGCCCACTCTCTTGTTCTGCCGCCTTATGGTTTCTGCTCCTGAGGGAAGCCCAAGTTCTGGCTTCCACAGTGTGCACATAGTTACAGATTTATTGGTGATCTTTTGGTCACTGTCACTAAACCATCAAGAGGGAAGAGTAGTGAAGATTCTCTAGGGTAGAAGAAAAAAGCCAGAGGTCGCTTCACTGAGGTGTCTGCCACAATAGCTAAGGAGCAGTGGCCACCTTCTTTCTTCCTTAAGTATAAGGTAAACAAACTATCTGAAATGTTAGCATCAGCTCAAGTCAAAGTAGTGTACCAGTAAACAAGTCTACTTCTTTTGGACTCAAGATTTATTGAGAAATAATGACATGCTGCATGTTGTGACACATGCCTGTGGTCCATGCGAGGCTGAGTCAGGAGGATTGCAGGTTCAAGGCCCATCTGGGCAACTTACCGAGGCCATGCCTCAAAATAAAAAACGCTAGAGGTATAGCTCAGTGCGAAAGCTCTGTGTTCAATCCTCAGCACCACAAGGAAGGGAGTGAGGGAGGGGAAGGGAAGAAAGATCTGATCCCTAAAAGAGAAAATCTAAACCTAACCTATTTTAAATTCATCGGGGGGAAACTGTCAGAACTATCACCTGATCTGTCCCTGAGATACAGAGACCCCTGTTTGTCTAATGAGCTTGAGAATGGGCCAGTTGTGTGCATCATGATGTGGGTGTTTTTGAAGAGTAAAAAGTTTATTTTGATATGCCCTACCCTTTACAGCATTTCTGAGATTAAGATGGAGGAGATTCTGTCCATTCTGGCGCGGGATGATTGTTTTAAAGTGAGGCGGAAGGAAAATCGGGTAAGTTTTATTTTTTATTGTGGTTGCTGCTAACAGCAGTGCCTTACATTTCTTGACCTGGGATGGCAGGACTTTGTATATGGGTGAATTAATTTGTGTCCTTAAATGCTTATTTTAAGGACCATGATGAGGTCACTGTGAATGTGTTTTTGCTTTGCCTTGCCTTGCCTTGCTTTGGAATGTGTTTGTTGGTCTCATCCAGTTAGTAGGCTTCATTCCATTCTGGGAGTCTGCCAGACTGCAACAGCCTACTCAGAAAGGGGACTAGCCAGAACACGCATCTCTGGGGGTTCTCCCCAGATCACCCACAATGCTACTGCCCGGACTCATCCATCCAAAACAGCATGGGGGAAAAATACCTGTGTGTCTCCTGTCAGACACACTTGGTCCACCCACTGCTCTATGTGCACGTGCTGTCCACACAGAAAGCGTGACATTGAGGTCATTAAGAAGCATTGCTCTCATCTGTGCTGTTGCCTGTGGATACGCTGAGCCATCGCACAGCCCTGAGTACCTTTTGCCACTGCTTTTCTAAGCCTCACTGCTGCCGGGCAGCCGTCTCCCCAAGGCTGCCGCCCATTACTCAGTGTATCGCGCTCGTGTGCATGGGTAGAGTGCTGTTGTGTGTAATTTTGTCTATCAAATATTAATTGCTTGGATATTTGACTTTGTTTTCTGGTGCCTGAGGATAAAGTGGGAAATCAGAGCCAAATAGATCAAACTTAGGAGTTTCTTTTATGCTTTAGTATGTGCCTTTATTTGGATCAATAGTCTCCCTAAGGCTGGGACTAGATTTGACTGACCCTGACTTAAGTTCTGTTCTTCTAGAGAGTAGTTAAGTAAAAGAATCTAGTCCAGGAAGGAAGCAGCCCTAACATCCCACTGAGCCCCAGTAACTCCGTAAGATGGGTACTGCCCCTGTGTAGCAGTGAGAAAGCTGAGAAGGGCAGAGGAGCTTGCCCCAAGTTGTCCTTCCGAGACTCCAAGTCAGCAGTGTGGGTTCAGAGCACATGCGCTTCACTCCACACCCCTGTGCTTCTGTTGCAGTTAACTCTGCCAAGAACCTGAAACTGAATTCTTTCCCCCCTGTGCTGGACATTGAACCCAGGGCATCCACCACTCAAGCTGGGCAAGCACTCAGTCACTGAGCCATACCACTAGCCCCTGAATTGCTTTTTAAATTAGGTGTTAGCCATTTTTATGGAAGTAAGATTTGGCCAGTAAATGATACCACAACAACAATCCACAAAAAGCTTACTCAGTTGAACCTGGGTGTGGTGGCATATACCTGTAACCCCGGCTACTTGGGAGGGTGAGGCAGGAGGATCTCAACTTTGGGACCAGCCTGGACAACTTGGTGAGATCTTGTCTCAAAGTGAAAAATAAAAAGGGCTGGGAATGCAGCTCAGTGTACTGTTTGCCCAGTGTGCGCAAGCCGCTGGGTTCTATCCCTGGTACTACAACCACCACCAAAAAAAGGCTCAGCTGACCAAATCATTATACATGGCCTTTCACCTACAAGACCCCAGCCACACTAGATTTTGACCATCCGAGGGAATTGACTAGGGAGCTGACTGGTCCCCAAATGGATGGTCATTGGTCTTGGCCGCCTCTGTCCTTCTGGGACTATTACAAATTCTAGTTTAGGGTATTGCATGTACGTGAACGTCCCTGTGATACTTCATTATGGCTCTGTGGGATCAGCAGGGAGCTGAAGGGCAGGGCCTGAGGTCAGATTCCTCATCTGTCACCAGCTATGAGCCTTTGGGCATGTCCCGGACTCCTAATAAGCTGCAGTTTCCTCGTATGTAAAATTGAGATGGTGATGGTGCTCTTGTAAGAAACTGGAGGGTTGTTTGGAAAACGGTCCTGAAGCCCCAGGTATAGTGTAAGGCATAGCACCAAATGATCTACACTTTTATTATTGTCATTGTCATCACGAGTTTGTAGCAGATGTGTAATCAAAGCCCAGACTCAGTGACACAGGTCCCAGTGCCATTCTTTATAGTATCTTAATAAGTAGAACATTAGCATCTGCCTGCTCTCCAGAAATAAGAGCCAGCGAGAAAATTACAAACTGAGATAGTATAAGTTGGATCAAACTTAGTCTCATGTATAGTGTTTCTGGGACCAGCTTTGGTTTCAGTCTTTATCCCTGAACACAGACCTTCCTCTCCAGGGAGGCAGTCATTGTATCCGTCTGCCACGGGCCCTCCTGAAAGACACATCCCCAAGGGAGGCACAGAGCAGCTGCATTTCCCTCTGCCCTTTCAGCAAAAAAATGGGCCACGTCATTTTTTTGAACATCTGCCCTTCTGTGGCCTTGCAGCACCAATTCTTCTCTTAAGCCCTTTCCCTGGCTGGAGGCCAGCGTCGGAGACCTCCTGAGTCTCGAGGAGCCATCTGAGGTCCTGTGGAAAAGCCAGGCCCGGAGTCAGCAGACCTGCATGTGTGTCCTCGCTCACAGCTGGTAGCTCTCAGGCCTTGGGCACGTTTCCTTCCTCGCACCTGGAAAGTGAGAACAAGGGTGCCCTCCAAACAATTGCCGTGGGGTTGGAATAAAGAGGCAGGACGTGCTCAGTGTGCTTCTGAGCCGCACCAGTTCCTAAGGCCAGAAACTGTCTTGTGGTCTCCTCCCAAGCACCTGCCTTGGTGGATGGAGGGAGTTGAATGCTTTGGTAGTTTTAAGATTTGGTGGTCTTGCTTTTGAAAAGGAGAGACGTGCTAAGCAAGTTTGGGCTTTCACTGACAAGACACAGTGGGTAACTTGGAAAAGGAAATTAGTCTTCCTGGGTTCTTGATATCATGCTGATGCAGACCAGGCTTGTAGGACCAAATTTAATTTCCATTCAAAGGAAAAGGAACGGGGCTGGGGATTTAGCTCAGCGGCAAAGCACCTGCCTGGCAAGCACAAGGTTGTGAGTTCAATTCCTGGTACTGGAAGAAAAACAAAACAAAACAAAGGAAAAAGAACAACTGGACTGTATTACTAATAGCATAGATCCATAGCCTGAGAGTATTTGATATGTACAATCTGTATCAGTGGTGAAGAGAATGAAGTGGGTACTGGATCCGACTTCTGATTCTGCTTTGGATAAGAAATACACTCTGTCCTGACTGGTCTTCTCATCTGAGCAGTTCTCGGGCAGGTGCCCGAATGCCAGGCATACAAATGTGGGCTCCCTGGCTGAGCCCTCTTCTTCACCCAGCTTGACTGAAGTCCATGGTAAAACGTCCCTTTGGCACATACAGTTTTGGGCTTCTGTGAACAGAAAGAAAGTGAGTGAAGCATCTGTAAAATGTATATTTCATATTTAGGTATATGAAATATATATAGCTATGTCTAGGTGTGCGCGTTCACCCACCTACAAAGAGAATAAATCTGATCTTTCAACTTTACTGAGAGGCACTCAGAAGGTTCTGCGAACTATGAGGTAAAGCTTAGCATAGCAGGAAAGTGATTAAAACAAAATCCTTCCATTTAGTTAAAAAACAGCTTGGAAGTTGGTGATATCCCCGTACCCCTCCCCCCTCCCTCTCCCTCCCTCTCTCCCTCTCTTCCTCTCTCTCTCCCTCTCCCTCCCTCCCTCCCCCACCATGGCACCACCAAAACTTCTTCGGCTGAGATCATCCAGCTTGAGCCTGGTTAGCTCAGGCGCATCTGTTGCTTCTCTGTAGGTGTGAAGTTTTCGTCATCAGAGCATGCACACACCCAACATGTTTTTCCTGCGAGTTTTTTCATCCCATGAGATGCACCTGTAAACTCATCCTAACAAAGAAACTGTCACTGGCGTTGTGAGGTGTTAAAATCAGATCAGAGCCCCTGGCTCATCCTTTCTGATGGTCTGTCCTTTCTAAGATCGGTAGGGGGTTAGAGGCAGAGGCGCACCAGTGCAGAGAGAGGCGGTTGGAAGTGTGGTTTTCTCAACTACCCGTGGCCGACTAGTTGCAGGTTAGCTTCGTTAACCAGTAGTGAACCTGAGTCTGTGAGGTGGGAACGGCAGGCTGCCAGGTGTGCTGGCGCCCTCGGGGCTTTGACCCGAGCTCATTACGGGAGCTTTTACCTGTCTGGGGCTGAGGTGGTGCTGCTGAGCTCTGCCCCTCCGTCTTCAGTTTAAATTTAGACTGCCCTCCCCAGGAGACACGGGAAAAGACCTGGCTCACTCTCAAGAGGGGCAATCTTAAAGAAAGGCCCCTGTGAGTGGGGTGGGGAGAAGATGATGTGCTTTTTACTCAGTATGTTTTGTTTTCTGTCATTAACTTTTCCTTATATTTTACTAAAACTGACCTTATCATTTCAAACATGGAAATCTAGTTTTATCATTTCTTCCTACATATTTTACTTGTATATAGACTTGTATTATAAATATGGTAGGTTTTTGGGGGGGTTGGGAAGAAAAGATGCCTCATTTTGAAACCTAAAGGGGGGAATAAGAAAAGCCCTTTGTAATATATTGCCATATTATCACTAAATCCCCTGACAGTTGTGACACAGAAGCAAGTCACCTGTCACTTAAGCTTGAGGTCTCTTTAATTTTCTCCTGGAATTCGCACCAGGCTGTCTTTAATTTGAGGCCTTTATTGGAATTCTGAAACCTCTCTGCCTCCCTGGCTCTCAGATCTATTCTGAGAGCTGTTACAGAATGTATACAATAACCAACAGAGGGATTCGGAGAGGGCTGCAGCTCTGTTTATTTAACACTCTAGAGGGATTTTTGTGCTTATTCGGTCCTGGCTGCCCGGCTTTCAATATCGCTTTGACAACCATTCTGCCCTTCTCATTAATTTTAAACAGTTAAAACACAGGAAAAAGAGGAAAAAGTTTTCATTATTAAAGTGCTTTACTTTTTAATAACAGAGGATTCTGTCCGCCAGGGGAAAGGGCATCCTCACTAATTTCACATTCATATTAAAAAAAAATGCAGGCAAGGTGACAGTTGTGCTGCTGAGATGGCTGAACGAAAGGAGGGCAGTGGAGAAAGTTTGCATCTCGCATCAGTTAAGAGGGTGAAAAACCCTTGTTAATGACAACAGCAAACGTCCACTTTGGTAGCACAGCTCCTGAGCGACTTTTCTCTTGACATTTCAGTGGATAGAACCCTTAGGGGGACCGTGTGCTGTGAAGTCAGCTCGACTCTCATCAGCCAAACAGGTAGCAGGGTTGGTTTTCAGGCTGTGAAGTCTCTGTTAATGCAGAAACAACGCTGATCCAAAGAACAGCACCTCTGCTTCTCCCCTTGGCTCCTCCTCTCCGGCCTAACAGTGAAGGGGACGGGCGTCTAGGTCCGGTCAGACGTCAGCGCTCGGCCCGTCCTCTGGAGGCGGCGGGGTGGCCTGGGTCCTGCGCCTATTGGCCCCAGTGGCCTGCGTCGGGCTGGGGTGGGCAGAGTAGAGGTGAAGGGGTACCACTCACATCGTCAGCATTATTTGGCCAGTTGGGCTGGGGATCGGTATTCTTTTCTATCTCATATAGGAAACATAGGCACTTTTTTAAAATACAAGAAACAAAAATCTCTACATTTGAGGGAATCTTTTCTAGGGGCTACTAAAAGGTAAAAAGAAAATGATTTATATTTTATTAGCATTTTCCATCTGCAGAGTTGTTGTCACTGCATAGATCCAGGCAGTCTTTGAATGCAGCTTGCTGGAAAAGCCCATTCTTTAATAGTTCCTGGAAACTCAGCTTGCTGGTTAAGGGCTTAAAGAGCAAATCCAAAACATTGCCAGTCAGCCGCTGTAGTAGCTGAGGACGAACACTGAAATTCAAGCGTGGGAAGAACTCTTTGAGGCTGAATTTGGCTCAGGTCACTAGAACAGTCTGGAAGAGGAATTGTCCTTGCCCACTGGGGAGTGCAAGGGAAAGGAGAGAAAATTTGTGAGAGATACAGATTTTTTGGAAAACAGTTTGTGTTCACTGGTCTAAATGCCTGAATTAGACTCGGTAAATTTCAAGTGTTTTCAGTGGTCTTTCCTTTTGAACATGTGATAAGAGGTCACGAAGAAAAGTAAGTAAATAAACAAACAGGCCTAGTCTGCTCTCTCACAAAGCCATCCTCATCTTTGCTTGACTTTAACATCTTTATAGCTCCCTTTTTTCCCTAGTAATATTGAAAGGATTACCCTCGTTGGCCCCTAGGTGGTTACTGTGTGATTTTACTGTTATTAAATCTATTATAAACTGCTTCATTATTCCTGACTTCGACTCTGTCTCTCCTTTAATCCTTCCGTCACCCTCCCAGAAATCCCATGCTGTTGGCCCCCAGGAAATCCGAGAGCGAGCCACGGTCTTACAGACCGTATTTGAAGATTACGTGCACTCCAACGAGAGGACGGTCTCCTGGGCCAAAAAAGGTCAGTTGATTCCTTAGGTGATTGTGGAACAGAGCACCCAGCAGGGTGCAGCCCCCACCCTCACCTCACACCCCACACACGCCGAAAGGCCAACCAGCGAACTCTGCCCGCCAAGCAAAAGCCTTCAGTCTCTATAATTCTGCAGGGTTTGGAAGCAGACATGGTAGGCTTTAAAGTGATATTAAATGTTAATTTCATCCTTCCCCTTCTTGTGCACAAATGGGGCTTTATCTTGGCTTACATCAGGACTAGAGCTTTGACCCACCAGCTTGGATCTGGGAGATCTATGTTTCTGTCTTGGAGGGCCAGGTAGAAGAGGCATGACACATCAGTAGAGGTAGTTGCAGAAATGCAAATTAGAGATGAAGGTAGGGCCTGGAAGTATTACACCTAAGCGGTTCCTATTTGAAGAAACAATGAAAAATGAAAGTAATGTTGAGGAAGGGCCATTGACCACAAACCCAATTCCTAATAAATGTATAGAAGAGTTAGGTATCGACTCGGTATTCAGACCCTTTTAGGATAAATTGGCCCCTGGAATCCAGACATTAGGCGTGGACGGCACAGTTCAGCTTGGACGATGGAGCAATGTGGGAGGGGGTAGCGGGAGCTTCGGCAAGCAGGTGCCCTGTCTTGGTGCAGCGCCCTAGCTGGGACTGAGCCCAGGGTAACGAGGCCCGCCCCAGGTGGAGGACCTCAGTTCTTTCTGTTAGTTACCTGCTCTTTTGAGAAGAACGCAAGATACTTAGTGGTAGGACTGTGTGTCATCCTTCCTTTTTCTCAGAAGTCGTATTTTCAGCCATTCTCTCAAAAGTAGTCACTGAGCAGGTACTGTTCCTACGATGGGCATAGCAGCCGCAGTGAACATGACAAATACAAATACTGAAGTGAGTTTCTTCAAAGGCGGTAAGAGCTATGAGCAGTGGAGCAGGTTTAAGGAAGGAAGCGGTGCTGAGCAGTGTCAGAGCGAGCCCCGCTGTTTTGGTCACACTGAGTAAAAGCCTGATGTGGGCAAGCTCTGTATCTTCCAGGCCATGGGGCCAGCCAGTGTGGGGGACTCCAGGAAGGTGATCTGGATGGAAGGAGGCTGAGGCAGAATCACCGGGCTTGGAGGCTGCAGGGAGGCTGGGTTTACACTGCGGGAAACGGGTCACTGGAGGGCTTTGAGCCATGCGGTGTGATGGACACAGGTTCCGAGAGGTGTCCTCGCCACTGCGTGAGAGCTGACCTGAGGGGCAAGTTTGACACGCTGAGGACAGCATGGGCCAAGTGTGGGGTCAGGAAGTAAGACCAGGTGGGCAGGGCCCGAGGTGTGCTCAGAGGTGGAGCACTTGCCTAGCGTGTGCAAGACTTTGGGTTTGATTGGATTCACAGTGCTGCAAAAAAAGTTAGCAAGTATCTTCAGATGTCTGTTATACCATTAGCACATGATAAAAGCAATGTTTGGTTGTCATAAAACTCAAGTCAGAACTGCAGAAGGTGAAAAATAAAAGTCCCAGTAATTGCTACTGATACATAATTAGTATGTATCCTTCTAGTCTTTAATAAGATCCTGTTTTAGCGCTACTTAAACGTGAACTGAACAGTTCGTCAGCGTTTTCCCAAGAACCTGCCTCTAGAGGGGGAGTGGAATGTCTCAAGACGAGTAAAATGTCGGTCACACTGTGACTTTACAGAGGCTTGACCTTTGATGAAAGTTAGGCAAAGGTCAAAACAGAGTTGTCCAGCCAGGCCTGGTGGCACATGTCTGTAATCCCCATACTCTGGGAGGCTGAGGCAGGAGGATCATAAGGCAAGCCTAGCCTGGGCAACTTAGTGACTTAGCGAGATCCTGTCTCAAAGTTTAAAATAAAAAGGGGCTGGGGATGTAGCTCAGTATGAAGGCCTGGTTTCAGTCCCCAGTACCACCAACACCAAAAAAAAAAAGTTTCAATGAAGATGACTACCCCGTCATCTTCAACTTTGATGTTGGTCAGTGTGTTTCAGAGATTTTGATGACATACAGTTATTTCAAGGTGTCTGGGCCATCTGAGTAAAAGTCACAGGAAATAATCCTTATAACATGGTTGGGGTTTTCTGTCATCTTTAGCATTACTATTGAATTTGCTCAAGAAACAAACAGGGTTACCTATCTTCTGCTGAAAGGATATTGGAGCAGGTCCACTCCCCAACATTTATGTGCCATGAGGAAATAAATCTATAATTTCCCTTATTTGCTAATTGATTTCCACTCCAGACTGATGTGGCAGGAACAAAACCCCCTCTGGTAGGTCTCAGTCACACCACTTCGCACACAAAGCTCCTCACTGTCTTTTCTCTCCTGTTAGGTAGGCCTGTGGGTCCTGTAGGTTTGAGGAAACACATACCCACCCGCCACCCTCGAACTGAATTCACAATGCAGGGACAGGCCTGCACCCTATAAGCTGCACTCTTGTTTTGCATTCTGATCTGCATATGCAAATTCCCCACAACTGACTTGCTTCCCTTTTATGCCATTTCAGAACCCACCTTATGAATAATTAACAAAGCAGCTGGCTTTTGCCTTTATGGCAGAAAACCAGTTGGAAACTGGGCCAAGTATGCATTTGTTTTCCTTTTGCTTTTTCTGACCCAGTCATTGTTAATAACCAGCATTTAATTGTTGTCAGTTTCCAAAAGCAGTTAGCCCTTTTTTCTCTCATTTCTTGCATCTTTCAGCTGGGGATTTTGGTTGCAAAAATAGTGGTAACGTAAGTTTGAATTCCAGGTTCCTGAACAAAAGCGTGGGGAGACTGAGTTCTTTGCTGCTCGTGGCCCTGCCCCATAGCTGAGTCCTCTCCATCTCCTGGCCTCCCTGAAGAGCGGGCTTCCGTCCATAGCATCACACCTGTGCCTAGAAGGGATGCATCTCAGAACCTAGAACATAGAACCTGCCAGTGATGCTAAGACCTCCTCCTGCCCTCGGTGGGAGCCGGGTGGACTGGGCACTCAGACAAAAGTTTTGTCTTGGGAGAATTGGAACAAGCCACCTCCTTCCCTGCATCCTTGGTGCAGTTGTTGCTGGTGGTGTCAGATGGAAGACGAAGGTGCCTTGAGCCTCAGAGCAGAGGGCTGTTGGGAGGAGTGGGCTTTGGCAGGAGCAAGGAGAACCTTCACCTTCTGGGCTGAGTATTGTTCCTGTCTACCTTCTTGGGAGCCATCCATGAGATACCCCTGCTGCCGGGCGTGGTGGCACACACCTGTAATCCCAGCACTTGGGAGACTGAGGCAGGAGAATCATTGAGAGTTCAAGGCCAGCCTGGGCTACAAAGTGAGCTCAAGGCCAGCCTGAACTGCAGAGCGAGACCCTGTCTCAAAAAGACAGAAAAACCCATAAGATACCCCTGGGGCTGGGGATTTAGCTCAGCAGCACAGCGCCTGCCTGGCAAGCGCGAGATCGTGAGTTCGATTCCTGGTACCAGGGAAAAAAAAACAAGATACCCCTTTCCTGACGCAGATATCCACATAGGATATTTGAAATAGATGCTCCCTAATTTGCACACCTTAAATAGTTGGCTGGAAACAGGAATTTGAAACTACAGAGCACTCAGTATGTAATTGCCGTGTGCTTCATCCATCAACCTGAATCAGTGTCTCTTCTCAGTGCTTCTTCACCTCCTGCGCTGCTGGCCCCACAGCCCTGTTCCTTCTACACATTTCTGACACTACCAACACGAGTCCCTTCCTGCCCCTGCGGCACCAGAAATTCCTGCTTCTCTGACTTATCCAAATACGAGAGTCCATGCAAGTCTGCAAGGACAGCCAGCTGTCGCTGTCCCCAGTGAGACAAGAGCCTTGAGGACAAGGAGGTTTAGTAAAATATGCAGTGTGAAATGCTGCCTGACCAGTTGTCTGGGGAGAAAACACTTCCTGCCGTTGCTCAGCAAACTCATTATTCCCGAGAAGCTGTTAGCTGGGCACCTATGTCCCCCGGGACTGATGTCTGTGCTCACTTCTAGGATTGGTGTGGAGGAGGTGATGGGGAGGTGAGCAAGGTGGAAGCCTGCATTGTGCGGAGGAGCAGTGGGAGATGAGCAGAGCTGGGCTAGGTTTGGGATAACCACAGCTGACGAGCTTGGACTCTTGGCTTGGCTTGGTTGGGTTTCGTGTTTTAGATCAAGGTTAGGGCTGGGGAAAAAGAAAGGAATTTCAAGAAGAGGCTTAGATCTCCACTGCCAGCCCAGTGGGATCAGAGTGTGGCTCTGTGACTAGGAGCCCGGTGTCAGAACCCTCCCGACAGTACAGGCCATTTGAAGTGTTAAAGATTCTCTTTGAAAAACCTAGTCCCTTGTTATTAAAAAGGGGTGTAAGCACAGACTTAGAGAGGGGTACAGAGGAGTTGCCGTGGTTATTATTTCTCATCGATTGGGAAAAGGAGTTCACTTTGCTCAGTAAATAGAGCTTTGATGGATTCCCAGGATCCTTCTAGGAGCTGATCTGCTAAAATGACACTTTTTATTACTGTTCATAAACGCCAATCTCCAGGTGCTGCTGGGATATTACGTCTAAGCTGTGGGCAAACTTGCCAGTCCAGTGGCTCAACAAGCAAGGTGTGGGAAGCTGGTAGCTAGTGCCTGTCCTGCATGGCTGGGTGCTGAATAGCCTGGCACAGGAGCAGGCCTTGGGAGTCACGTGAGCAGGAATGGGGTGCAGAGTGCTTGTTTCACACCCCCATGCCCCGCTAGAGTGAGAATCAGGTAGAGAGTAGGTTTCCATTGTTACAGAGCTATTCAAGGAGGAGCCAGCAGGGTATAGGAAAATCTTTCCTCACAGCCATAAGGCATAGCCAGAGCTCCATCCCCAGGACCCAGGTCTGGCTTTTCTCTGGCCAGCACTGGGATCTAGAAAAAGAATGCCTTTTCCTAACTTTAAACTGGACTGCAGCTTTCCCAGTGGAATATTTGGTGAACTGACAGCAGACCTCTAGGGGTGAACCATTTCCTGAACTGTTTTAGTAATAAATAAATGTTCTTTCCTTTTACAAATTCGTCTTCCAGGGTCGGGGCCATAGCTCAGTGGCAAAGTGCCTGGCAAGTGCAAGGTCCTGAGTCAGTGGCAAAGCACCTGCCTGGCAAGCACGAGGTCCTGAGTTCAATTCCTGGTTCCAAAAAAAATTCATTTTCCATTTTCTTTTTTATAGTCTTCACATGAGTTGGAAGCACTGTATTAGTCAGTTAAAGATGTCTTTATCTTGTGTGTGTGGGGGGGTGTTGGGGATCAAACCCAGGGCCTTGTGCATGCAAAGCAAGAGCTGTACCACTGAGATGCATCCCCAGCCTGTGGATATCTTTAGATTGAACCTGGATGTAAAATCCCTGAAGTATACTAATACCTGCTCTCAGTGATGCATGTGGACAGGGGAGCTGAGGCAGGGCTTGTGGTAGAGGAGCGTTTATAGTCACAGTGAGGTTATTCATTCACAGAATGGTAAAGAACTTTCTGAATTTTGGATCCCTTGCATGTATTAACTATTAAAAAACTGACATTTAATCAGGAAACATTTTCTTTCTTTTTCTTTTTTTTTTTTTTTTTGATTTTTTTTCCGGTACTGGAAATCGAACTCACAACCTCGTGCTTGCCAGGCAGGCGCTTTGCCGCTGAGCTAAATCACCAGCCCCCAGGAAACGTTTTCTTAATATAATTGTCTAATGATTTTTTCTTTTTCTTAAAACAATGCCTATGTCGCTCATTTTAATTTCTGCACTCAATTCTCACTTCAGTCATGGATACAGTGAATATTTGTCACATGCCAGGTACTGTGCTAGGCTCTGATACCGCGAGGAAGAAAGCAGACTGGATCCAGGGTGGATCCAGACAAGCTCTGCAGTAAAATCGAATTGTATTGGGTTTATTTAAGTGATAATTGTGGCTATAGTTTGTTCACAAATTCTAAAAGTGCACAGACATGTAGATTTATGTTGTTTATACTCCAGCCATGTGCTTATGCTCTGTCGCCTGGCAAGATAAAGTACAGGGAAGCCAGATGAGGTGACACATACCTGCAACCCCAGCCGTCTGGAGGCTGAGGATAGAGGGTCACAAGCTCAGGCCTAGCCTTGCCACACACATAGTAAGACTCTGTCTGTAAGTAAAAAGTGAAAACAGCTGGAGATGTAGCTTGGTGTGGAGGCCTGGGACCTAAGGCCCCAGTCCTGACAGCTGCCATCTCCTCACTTTTCTTCCAGCTCTGCAATCCTTCATCGGAGCCTATGCCGCCTACCCCAGGGAGCTGAAGCATATCTTCCATGTGCGATCCCTCCACCTCGGCCATGTGGCTAAGAGCTTTGGGTTGAGAGATGCTCCCAAGAACCTCGGCGTGTCGGCCAGGAAGAGGAGGAAAGCAATGCCAAAAAGGTAAGTTGATGGGAGTTTATTGGTGGTAATGGCTGGAAGTCAGGTGGATGTAGAGAGCTCTGAGGTTACAGTGTGAGGTGGTGTGGGAAGCTGACACACAGGATTGTCTCTTCCACTGTCAGTTTTTCTGATAAATTATCACGATTCTGCCTGTCTCTCATACAGTAAGCTCCTGGAACTAAAGGAAAAATACTTGCTATCTTCTGCTGGGCCTAAACATAGTGGGGCTTAGTACGCAGCGCCTGTTGGGAGAGAAGAGTAGCCCTGTCCCAGGGAGTACCTCCGGCTCGCCACATTCCATGTGCCTGGCCTGAGTAACGGACTCGGATCTGGGGAGATGGCACCATGAGTGGCAGAGCCTTGAGTTCCAGGAGCTGCTGATGCCCAGATCCCAGCACGCTGGCCTCAGGGTGGCACTGGGCTGGACACCACCTGGTACTCCATGGTGCTGAGTGGTTATCAGGCAAGGGCATGTCCACAGCTGTCCAGGAGGGTCAGTGAGCAGGCAGGCATTGCCCTTTGGGGTGAAGGCTGGTTCTGGGTCCAGCCTCACATGTTCAGACATCTGCTCAGCAAACTTCAATTATACCAGGTCTTCTTTCTTTCCTTACTATAGCTGGAGCTCTGGAGACCCCATGAGTGCTTTGTAGGGAGCTTTGGGGTGGGTAGCCACCCTCATTGTACAGCCTCAAAGTTGAGGGGACATGGTGATGAAGTGTGTGGGACACAAAGACTTTGCTTGCACTCCTCAATTTCTATATGGCAGCCTTGAATGCTCTGGGCAGTTACCGTGTTGTCCGTCCTCCTCTCTACATTAGATCGGCCCTGGCCATCCTGCCCTAACCCAAGGTTTACTGCTGGATCCCAAGGGTCTGCTGGTTCTTCCCCGGCCTTGTGAGGGCCGGGCCTCCGGGACCGCTGTCTTAGAGTCAAGGACTTGTGCTCAGCTCAGCTCCATTCTGATATGAGCTGTGGACCATTCCTTTTCTCTGTGTCTCAGCATCTCAGTCTCCTCCACAACAAAACAGAGTCACTTTCGCAGTCCATTTAGAGCATCAAAATTAGGTGATCACACAAGTCCACCTTTTGAACCTTGCAGGATGCTCAGACAAAGCTAGAAAGCAGATGAATCAAGACCCTGGAATGTCCCACTCAAGCGAGCTCTTTGTGACAATAAAGTGTTGTCTAATTCTAGTTCCACTTTGGGAACTGTGAAAATGCTTTTTCCTTGTAGTCATGCCTCTCATGTGGAATGGTGCTCCCGCGGTTGTGTGAGGCAGATGCGAACCATTTCTCCCCACGCTGCCGTACTGTAATGCCTGCTTTCTTCCCAGCAGTTTAGAGGTGCAGGGCTGCAGAGCAGGGCGGTACCCAGAGATTTTTGTACCTGCCGTCTTCGGATCCAGGAGGAGGCAGGCACCTCAGTGCCACTCCCAGGCACTTGTGGCCACCAGAACTGGGATCCTGGCCATGAACTTGGTGTCTCTGTCCCTGCACTCGCTGTAGAGATACCAGTGAAACCTTGAGGACAGCCTGGGGCTTCCCAGGCCACATCCAAGAGTGACCGCCTAACGAGAAACCCGGCCATCCCTCCTCCCACCATTTCTAAACTGCTGATTCTCTGGGAGGTGAGGCTAGACCTGCCAGATGACAACTGCTAAGAATCGGGTCTTTTCTCAATTCCTTTCCCCCCAAAATAAATACAATTGCAGTACTCTATTATTAGCAGAGGATCTGCGTTTATGCCTTGAAATTTCATTAGCAAGTGTTAAGCCAGCTAGCAGTTCCCCAGACCAGGAAGGCCAAGTCCTGCCCAGATCCTGGGAAGCCAGCCGGGAGGCTCTTGGGTGGGGGAGTTGGCGACGGCATTGTCCTTACCTTGAGAAGCCGCTAGGGAGAGAGCAACCGCCGCCTCCTGCCTCAGCTGACCCTGCATAGCAGATGGGCACCAAGACCACTATACCCCTGTGAGCAGGGGATTTACAGGGCTTTATTCAGGGAAGAATGGGCTGATTAGCCGATAAAGAGCATGTAAGATGGTATGGGGCGGCCTTTGATGTCTGGCTGGCGCGGCAGGGAGCCGGGTGGTGAGTGACAGCAGTGTGTCACAGGATTACTCTGCCGTGACAGTGGCGCTCTCTGTTCTTGCCATGTCACCACTCTGTTACAGCTACTTTTTCCGTTGTTATGCCCTTCTTTTGAAGGCATTTCTGTCCACGCTCACCCCGCCCCTGCCTTTCTAATGCAGACGGCACTGGAGGATACGGTGGGTACCTTTTTGTATTGGGGAAGTCTTGTCACTCCTGGAGGAGCAGTGACTTTGCAGCTAATCTGCACATGGACCGTATAATTGTGGTCAGGGCGAGTGGCAGAGAAAACCTGACAGATTGTCCACACCTCAGTCAGGGCTCAGGCAAGTGCCAGTTGCTGCTTTTTGAGAATTGGAAAGAAAAGTCCGTTAAAGCCCACAGAGAGTGGGTGCAGAGAGTGGTGCTGTGGCCACCGTTATTGTTTTGGCTGCAGCGTGCCCTCTGAAATCCGTCTGTCAAGACAGAGAAGGGGTTCTTTATGTTTTGTAGGGTGAGTAAAATAGGAGCACTAAATTCTCTGAATTATTCACGTGCAGCTTGTGGTACTTTCTACCACAGTAATTGCATAGTATGTGCGAACCTGTGATACCCCAGACCCGGTCCATCAGGCTGAGCAAAAATCCCATCTCACCTGTCATCAGAAGGCCTGGAAAGTGTGAGCTGAGGGCAGGGCAGGTTAGGACCCTACTATTAGGCATTTCCACGTAGTGTCAAAGGGGATCTTATCTTTCATATTGCCTTTGTCGCTGTACCCAGCCACTTTTCCAAACAAGAAAATAAATACTTAACGTCCCCAAATGAGATCTCAATCACCAGGTCTCTGTCGACTCTTGCAGTCCTCATTCAGAAAGGAAACAGTAAATGCCTTCCCCCTGCACACAGAAATACAGTCATAGTCACAAAACCTCTTCTGACACCTACACACAAACCTGTCAGAACAGCCCCCCTCCGCGAACTCCTACACAGACATGTACACAGGGAGTTGGTGCTGGTGGTAAAATATTGAATGGCCCCTTAGCAACATCCATCACAAAAACAGCATTTTCCTCCCGTGAAATGCAGTTCTTATTTTGAAGCAAAGTAGATGCAGCAGTTCTTGAGAAGCAAAGGAACACACTCCAAAACCGCCATCTTTCCAGGAGATAGGAAGACCCAGAGCTGCCTGCGCTGTGAACAGAGTCGTGTTGTGTGCTGGGTGTGTGTCTGTCGGGCTGTCGTGCCTGTGAGGGGAGCAGGTCCAGGGACTCCAGGCCGGTGTGTGGCAGAGGGTCCCAGTTCTCTGTTTCTCTGCCCACAGTCTATGCAGGATGGTCCGGATGGAAATCAGTGTACCTTGAAGTCTTGGTGTTTGGGACAGTATGAGAGAGCAAGTCTGCTGTCTTTAAACTACCCCCTCCCAAGAATGCGTTGCTGTGCCCCTACACTCCTCTTTGCCCAGGTCGATGGTTTTGTTTATAGCTAGCTGCTCAGAACTGGTTTTGCCCCAGCTTCTGCCATCTGTGCCTCTCTGATGTTGCCTCAGTACCTAGAAACATCTGGGACGGTGGCACTGTTAGTGCAGTAACAGCAATCTCAATCGTTGAATATTCTTAAATATAGTCTCATCGTATATAAATTTCCTCAGACCATCCTCTCCAGAAGGTAGCTGGTGGTGCCTGAGTTTATCGGAGAAGGTAACCAGTCTGAAATGGGCTCGTCCCTCTGTGCCCCGTACTCCTAGGTGATGCAGCTTGCCTGGGAGTGGCGCCTCCTGAGGTGGATTCATGGCAAAAATACCCCACCAGTGGCGTTTCACCCAGTGCTACGGAGCATTTCCCTAACTTCTACTTCTAGAGGCCTAGACTTCCTTTTTCCTTCCTAAAATGAGCAGCATCTTGGGAGAATCTCGCGTATGTGGCAGTCCGCCGTACAGGACATGTTGCGTGAGTCTCCTGTCTGAACACTGAAATGCTTCTGCACCAGGGCGCACGCTGGAGGTGCTGAGAGCTCTGGTTCTTGGCATCTTCGTCTTTGAAGGCCTTGCTGCGTCGTTCTCTCATCCCATCATCGTTAGGTAACCGGTAAGCACTTGTGCCGGGAACCACGCTGTGACGTGAGAAGTGTGTCCCCTCAGCACTGTCCCTTGGGCCTCCCCTTGATTCCTGCCTCAGGGACATCTGGTTGATTCGCACAGATTGAGCTCTGGCCTCCCTGCTTGTGTTCTGTGTGCTTCTGGGCGGGTTTCTCAGCCTCTCTGTGTGTCGGTTCCCTTACATCTCAAAACGGGGTACTTGGGCCTCACTGCGTTGTCCTGGGTTAAACCAGCCGCTGAGCATGAAACATCGCCGCCCTGTCCCACACATGGAGAAATGGGAGCATTGGCAGTCCTGGCAGCGACCCTGTGACCGCAGGCTTCATTCCCCTAGCCTCCAGCATCCTCGGTGTGCATGGACCTGGGAGGCACTGTGCAGAGCTGACTGCAGCACCCTCAAACTTGTCTCACCAGGAACAACCTTGAAGGTGCAGCTGGGTCCCCAGAAGACTCGCATTAAGAAGCTGCAGCTGCATCTCCCTGTAAAGCAATATTCTCATCATTAGGAGCAGCTTGCCTGCCAATTTTTACGTGGCATTTACAACCTTCCTAATATCACTTAATTAGCTGAAGGCAAATCTGGAATCTTGCCCACTGTGAAAATTTTCTCAGTTTCATGAGCCAGTTATCATTCTGTAAAAAGCAGATTGGCCAAACGTGAGATCAGAGGCTGGACAAAGCCGTGCTGGAAAACACGAGGCTCTGTCCACACACAGCCGCCACACCGGAGTCAGTGCTCGCCTGGGTCAGCTGCCGGCGTCCGCACCGATGGTCCCCCTGACACTCTCTTCTGGGGGCTCCCTGTCCAAGCGCTCTCTGCCCAGCCCCTGGCTTCACCT